ATATTGTTTTCTCAAAAACTAAAAGTTATTTTTCAAAACGGGTTGGTTCATTGGAAAGAGGGCACTTTTATTAACACTTTGGGAAATTTTCATACTCATATTCCAAGAAATGGATTTTATATGAATTTTTAAAACTTAATCGGCGAAAATTGCAAAAATCGAAAGAATTATCGACCATTTCAAAAATTTATTTCTCAAAAACTAAAAGCGATTTTTCAAAACGGCTTGTTGCATTAAAAAGAGGATACTTTAATTAATAATTGGCGATATTTCCACACGGATCCTTCAAGGAATTAATTTTATAGCGAATTTTGCAAGTTATCGATGAAAATTTTATCAAAACTTCAAATATTGTGTATGTTTTGTGAAATACGTCGATAGTGGACCGTAAATCAGTGGAAATAAGTTCTCTGAAGGAACTGGGTCTGGACAGCTTCTCCTGTCTGAATGTATTGTGCCAACAGTAAAGTTCGGCGGAGATGGGATTATGATCTGGGGATGCTTTTTTCTGGTGTGGATTGGGTCCCAATGGATGGTAAGTTTACCGCCGACACCTACTGCACAATTAGAGATATTAATGTGCTTCCTACGTTATGGCAGTATTACAGAGTGAATCCATATTACTTTCAGGGCGATAATACTAACTATCATGCTTCGAGATCCACTATCGATTGGTACGGTCACAATGGGGTTACCCGAATGTACTGGCCTGCCCAGAGCCCAGATCTGAATCCCATCGAGAACCTCTGGTACGAATTGGATCGCCCAATTAATGGATGCAACAACCGTCTAAAATTCGGTAAAAGTATCTTCTCTAAGATGATAGTATCTTCTTATGGAAGGGTTGAGGTTGTAATTTCCGCGCATGGAGGCTCTACCAAATACTAGTAGTATTTCTCAAGCAGTATTTAATATTATATAAACAGTATATAGGCTGTCTGCCCGTTGAGTTGCATAATTTAGTAGGGTTATTCCTTGCATCAAAATTAGCAAAAAACTTCCGGTCAACATAGGTGCAATTTTCAATCGTTTTCGAGATATAGGTGGTCAAAAGCGCTGAAAGTTACTAGTTACGGTAACTAATTTAATTTTACTTTGTTTAGATGGAATGCGCATGAGGTTGGCTCTTTGACAATTGTCAGTAAAGCAGTTTCTTAGTATTTTTGTCATTGAATTCCGCTCGTTGAACCTTTAAAAGTGCCTCTTTTTACGAATGAAGAGTGCGCCGACATGATTGTATGGCTATTGTGGAGGAAACGTTTCAGAAGCTGCAAGAGAGTACGCAGAACGCTACCCGAACCGAAGACATCCTTGTCGGACAACCATCATGAACTGTTTCAGATCGCTTCGGCAAACAGGATCCTTCCCGAAAAAGACTAATGAGCGAGAGCCTGCGCAAAGAAACCACACTGAAGCTGTTCTTCATGAAGTTTCTGAGAATCGGAGAACCAGCATAAGAAAAATGGTTGCCACCACGGGACAGAAAAGGATATCGATTCACAGGACTTTGCGTGAAAATGGGCTTCATCCTTACCACGTACAATTCGCTTTGTTCGCGAATGAGCCTACCTTCACTCGTAATGGGATTAACAGCTCACATAACGAACACATCTGGAGCGAAGAAAATCCCCATGCTTTGTCAGAAAGTAGATTCCAACACCGATTTTCGGTTAATGTGTGGGGAAGAATCATCGAAAATGTTGTCCTGGTACCGAAAATATTTGCTGGAACTTTGACTAGTCAAATCTACAAGAGATTCCTAGAAGAAATGCTTCCCATACTTGTTGAAGATATCTCCTTGAACGTGCGTAATAGGATGTGGTTTGTCCATGACCGGTGTCCGGCACACTATGGAAGGCTTGTACCGACTTTTTGAACACTGCGAACTGGTAGGTAGAATCCATCGACCATTTCAGGAAGTTCGTGGAATCATCGAAAATATCAACTGGATAGGAGAACTAAGTCGAGCAGAGTTGTGTATGGCAGTCCAGGGTCATCATTTTGAGCAACTTTAATCAATTAATGATCGCTATGCTTTTGTTCTTGTTTGTTTACGGCATTATTTGGTCATTAATGGTCTTTACGTACTGTTTCGATTCGTAAAAACTACTGTCCATGGGTCACCGATACCATTAAGCACCTCATGACGCTTCGTGATCAAGCTTACAGCAGATTCCGCCAGAGCAAGTGCCCAACTCACTTTCACTATTATAAACAATTGCGCAACTATACTACTTCGGCGGTTCACAGGGAGAAGCGGGCGTTCTTGGAACAGTCGTTTCAAGAACGGTCTTCTCGAGACCTTTGGAAGAGCTTTAGAAAACTAGGTGTTGTCAAAAATAAAACTCAGCAGTAGATAGTATTTTGCAAGCAGTATTATTAGGTCTTCATCAAGCGTTAGAGAGTATATAGTCCTCAAGCAACATCTACTCTCTTTCAAGTAATATTTAGTGTTCTGTAAGCACTACCTAGTGTTCTATTTGCAATATCTAGTCTTCTCTAAGTACTATGTAGGCTTCTATTAGCAGTATTTAGTCTTGTACAATGAGAATTTGGTCCTGTTTAAGTAGTATATAGCTTTCAGCAAGCAGTAGTAGGTCTTCAAAAAAAATCAAGCGTCAAAAAGTGTACAGTGTTTTGTACAAGCCAAATATAATCTTTTTCATGTAGTATATAGATTTCTGTAAGCAGTTCCTAGTTTTATGTTGGCAGTATAGTCTTCTGTAAATACTATGTAGGCTTCTATTAGTAGTATTTAGTCTTCTTAAAGCATTATCAAGGCCTAGGTCTAGTGGTAGTTCTAGTTTTAATAGTTATTCAACGATGATGTCAGCAGTCCTCTTAGATTCTACCATCCACAAAGGTGTTGATAGCTGTCCAAATTTGTGCGCAATAAAATTACTCATATAACGGACTTTTGACTATAACGGACACTCCCCTCCCCATGTTAATCCATTATATCAAGATTTTTGTTACATTAATAATTTTAATTAATTTCGTAGACAACAACAAAAATTAGATGAGATGGAGCACTACATTACTTCAATAGCGAAGAAAATCGAGTTGTTATTGAAGAAAATGAACGCACTTTCTGATGTGCGAAGCAAATGATTTTAGAAGTAACCTAGGAACGTATAAATCAACAAAAACGTCAAATTAAAATTATTTTTATTAAGTTAATTTATTATTTTTTAAATGGGTGAACCTTCAATTCGCCCATCTTTTTCAAATATGCAACCTGGGCAAAGAAAAATTCCCCAAAAAAGTGAGTCATCATCATATTTTTATTAAAAATTAATCCGAATTGTTTTAGTTTTTTGGGTAACCCCAGCGATTGCGGAATTATTCGATCGCGAATATTATCTCCTTGTTTTAAGTCGAGAATTTATTTTTTATTTGATTTTCTTTTTTTGTGTCTCTTTCGGTAAGTTTAACTCGATCTTTTAACCTTTTTTCAATTAAATTTTAAACTTTTAATTTCAGCTGCTTTCGCAAAACTCGATTTTATGTCGTATTATTTAACGCACGCTGTAAGATCGCAATTAATTCAGGAAGATTTCAAAACGGATTCAAATAAATTCATTCGTTTTAACGATATCACCACAATTAATCATTTCTATGATTATCTCGATGAATTGGTTGTGAAAAAAATCTTTATCGGTTCATTTTCTTCGTTAGAATTTCCCTCGGCAAATAATCAAACGGACAGAGGTCTTTTGTATTATAATAAAATTTTGGGGCAACCAACATTGCGTCAAGTAACTGCTAAAAATAGTTCTTGCCATCAAATTTTTTCTGAATATTTTAAACTTTGTTATCTTGATTATTCTGATTGGACCAAAAGCAAGGAAAATTTAAACTCTAAAGAGTTTGCGTAAGAACATTTTATTTTTTTTATTATATTAATTTTTTTTTAATAAATTTGTTGTTTTAGATATAAATATCGACCACAATATAAAATTAAAAACGAAACGAAAATGGTGGGAACGCAAGCGATTTCTTATTGGGGAAAACTCGCTTTTTACGAAGCTGGAGGTTATCAAAAACGGATGGGGATTTCTCGGGAACAATTCAAAGAAAATATTGAACTTTTAAGAGCTTCCTCTTGGTATAGACCAGAAACGAGGGCGATTTTTTTTGATGTCCAATTTTATAATCAACACGTTGATCTATTTACAGTTGTTAAGTAAAAATTCATATTTCTTTATGTTAGATATTATAAATTATTTTGTGTGTGCAGGTTAATTTTTGAAACTCCACCAACGGGTCAATTAATACCAACAGCGAGTATAACTACATTTCAATGTGAAAAAGAATACACCAACAAACTACAAAGATTAGCCGATGGTTGCATGATTGTGTACAGTTTATTTATTTTGTATTTTCTTTGCGAAGAATTTCGACAAATTTGTTTTTTTAAATGGGCTTATTTAGGAATGTTTTGGATTTATGTTAATTGGATTATTTTGATAGTAAGTTGTATATTCAATGTTATATTTCTAACCAAATCAGTCAAAAATAAATATCATGGAAATGTTAAAAACCATAACATTTTATGGGGAAGAATTTTGCACTCTTTAAGAACGTTTTGGAGTCTAACCAGAGCAATTCCAGACTTTTGTTTACAGCATGGCATCAATTTAGTGCGATTTCTGATATTTTTTGAAATTTAAACTCGTCCAGAATAGTTCCTGACATTTGATAACAGTTTTATGTTTTTCTAGAATCATTTTTTTAAAATTATTATAACACTAAAACTGCTCATCATTGACCAACCATTAGTGTATCTATATTAAATTTTTTAAAACTAAACACTAAAGGTGGGTTCATGTAAAGTGTATTAGTTTTAGTCATAAGCGTTTGCTGTAGTTATAAGGAAAGGGATTGGTTCATGCAATATTTAAGCACAGCACATTAAAGGAAGCTTTTGACGTATAAACAGTCGTGCTACAACTCGTGCCAAATTAAAAAAAAAAAGAAATCGGGAGTGAAACTGTTTTGTTTATTATAAATAAAAAGAAAATTGTTGTCGCTGCTAGTGTAATGTGCTTGAATGCAGCTCTATTAATCGCACAAAGATTAAGAAATAAAAGACGACGGCGTTTTGGCAGAAGACCAATCAATAAAAATAGAGAATTAGAGGGAAATTATGCCACTCTGATTAGAAACATGTTGGAAAAAGAGGAAGACGATTTGCAATTTTTTAAATATGTTCGCATGTCGTTCGAAGAGTTTAAGGAATTGTTAAGACTGGTTGAACCTTTTTTAGCAAAAACACCAAATAAAGGTGCAATCTCACCCGCTCAAAGGTTGATTTAATTTTATATTATAAAAAAATTACAATTATGTAATCAAATTATTGTAGTTATTTGTGACAAGGAAGTTCTATGCAAGAGCTAGCTTAGAATTTTCGAATGGGAAAATCCACAGTACATTATATAATTAAAGAGACAACAACTGTTCTGTGGAACGTACTACAGCCCAGAGTGTTACCAGAGCTTACAAGAGACATATTAGCGTCTGTTGAAGATACATTCTACAAAAGATGGAACATACCCAACTGTATCGGGGCTGTTGATGGGAAACATCCTTATACAAGCACCAAAAGCATCGGGACGTGGGTTCTTCAATTATAAACATACCTTCAGCAGTTTTAATGGCATGTGTAGATGCGAATTATAATTTTATTATAGCAGATATTGGAGCTAGTGGAAGAAATCATGACAGCACTATCTTTAAAGAATCTTCTTTCGGGAGAGCTTTATAAATGGAAACATAGATATCCCTTTTCCAAAGAAATTGCCTAGAAACAACATTATACTTCCACATTTTGTTGTGGGTGATGCTGCGTTTCCTCTAATGGAAAATATAATGAGACCATATCCAGGACAGTACTTAGAGGTAGAAAAAAACATTTTCAACTATCGTTTATCCAGGGCAAGGAGGACCGTTGAAAACGCCTTTGGTATACTCTGCAAGCGGTGGCGAATTCTACGGAGGCCAATCATAGCTAGGGTAGACATAGTAGAAAATATTGTAAAAGCCACAGTAGTTTTCCATAACTTCCTTCGTATTGAACAGCAAAGCGAAAGGTACTGTCCTCCAGAATATGGTGATACTATTCAGTCAGAGTCAGGGGAAATTATAAATGGTCAGTGGCGAGCTGAACCAATGTCACTGCAAAATATAGGACGGGTTGGAGGCAACAATGCGGCAAGAAGGTTCCAGAAGAATAAATTATTCATAAATAAGTATTTTGTATCAACTCTATTAATTTTGAGTCAATTTGGTCCGCATTTGACTCCATTGAAATAATTGTCGAAACAATAACGCACAACAACCTTAATACAATAAAATACAAAACCTAACTGACCTAACCTCAATTTATAAAATAAAACAAAACACTGCTATAATTACAAGGACACAAAAGAGACAAGTGCGCATGCGTCACGTTACGACCGATTGTTTTAGCTTTAAGAAGTTAAAAGTTGGGCAACTCTTAGGACTAGGACAAAAACTATTTTAGTCGTAAGGTGTTGCATGAACAGTACTACTATAACACAATACTTTAACTTTTCACTCTTACGACTATGCCAATAACTACGACTAAAACACGTTGCATGAACCCACCTTCTGGTCGCCCATTGGTTTTCAGAAGACTCTATTAAATTATACTACCGCACCTTACTCTGCTTTTTCACTATTTACCGCTGTTACTCACTAGGCAAGATCAAATGGCTTAGTCCTTTTTAATCTTCGTTGGACGTTTTCATTTTCAAAGAGAAGAGACACTCGGAGTAACGTGGTTGTCAACTCTAGAATTATGTTTTTGTGCAAACCGCTTTATTTCGCTATATACATCCGCGATCTCAAGATCCTTAACGATATCTCTTGTTCCTAACATACCATGGCGCATTCACGATGTTTCTCAAGAGTTTATTTTGAAATCTTTGTATGGTTCAATATGGCATTTTTTGGAGCATCCCCATAGTTGTAACCCGTACAGCCGATATATATATATATATATATATATATATATATATATATTGTCTATTGATAACTTTGATTGCCTTCCAATTAACCAGCTATATTGCCTGTTTCTTATTCGCAGTTCTTCCAGTTTTTTTTTTATATGTACTCCCCAGGTGAGTTTTTTTATCTAGGTGTATACCGAGATATTTTGTTGAGTCTACATATGGAATGATGTTATTATCAATTGTGATTGGTGGTAAATTAACTAATTTTTTGTTTGTAAAGTTAATTTGAACAGACTTGTTTTCATTAATTTTAATTTTCCATTTTCTCGTCCATATGTGGACAACATGTGGACACCATTTTGCAGTTTGTTTGTGGCCTCTTGAAGATTATCACCCACAGCCAACATGGCTGTATCGTCGGCGAATGTTGCCATTGATATACCATTGTCCTCTGACAAATCGTTTGTGTATAGCAGGTACAGAATTGGCCCAAGTACACTACCTTGTGTACACTACCAGGTTTTATCTCTTTTAAATCAGTAAATTCGTTTTCGTATCTGACTCGAAATAATCGGTCTGTAATATAAGATTCTAGGACATCCACATACTGTTTTACAATAATTTACTAATTTTATATATTAGGCCTTTATGCCATACTTTATCGAATGCTTGAGCTAGGTACATTAACAAATATAGCAGAGCAAACTTTTTTTCCTTCGAGAGTTTTTCTATCAGATCAGATATTGTGTACTTGATCAATTGTACTAAATTCGAATTGATACTCAGGAATAAGTTAGTTTTGTTCTATTAATGGTTTAAGCTTTTTGAGGAAGAGGTTTTCAAAAAGTTTTGAGATTACTGGAAGCAACGAGATTGGTCTGTAAGTCTGTATGAAGCCACATCATATGGTGATTTTTTTGGCTTAGATGTCATAATTACCTCTGCAATCTTCCACATAAACATTGCATTTATTAAATACGTTAGTTTTAAGATTGCTTTTCTTGGGAGGTTGTTTAAGGTTTCTCCTGTAATCAAGTTTCTAATTGCAATCTAATTTCTTTAGAAACTTCATGTGGCGTTACATGTTTTATACGTTCATTAGTATTCATGTTCTTTGATATTTTCACAATCGGAGCTTATAGGATTTGGCTGGAAAGTTTTTTCTAGATGGTTTGCAAATAATTCTGCTTTTTGTTTATTAGTTCTTGCCCACGTTCCATTATCAGTTCTGAGCGGTGGATTTTGAGTGATAGGACGTTTCAGCTTTCTTGTTGCTCTCCATAATGAATAATACCTTCCTTTATCGGCGGTTAACTCAGTAAGGTATTTCTTGACCGATTCTTCCTTTCTTCTTTATATCTCGTTTTAATTGTTGTGTCAGATTATTGAATCTACTTTTATCGAATGGATGTCTTGTCTGATGGCATGTTCTTCTAGCTTTTCTTCTTTCTATAACTAGTTTTCTAATTTCTTGAGGGTAATTGTTGCTTTTGTGTTATTCCATGCTGCACACTGAATATCTCGCACAAAGTTTTCCACTTCATCTTCCAGTTGTTCTTTAGTGTTTAGTTGAACGCTCAACCGCATTTGTCCTTCAAGATCCAATCTAAAGCTTTCCCAATCCGTCGTACCATTCGTCAGGGTTGGTTTTCTTTCCTTTTCAATAATCTTTTCACTTAAAGTCAGTACCACTACTGTGTGATCCGAAGCTAAGTCGTAGTTATCATGTTCTTCCAGAAAATTGGGTGAAAATTTCTTTGATATAAAGAAAGTCCAATAAATCAGGTCTCTTATCCGCATCAGTAGGAAAGTTATATGTTTCGTGATAAATGATATTTGACCCGATCTCTGGACTGGCTTTCAGTAGTTCTTTCACTTTTGTAGTTGTGACTTCTGATCACTATTTTGTGTTTTTTGCATTAAAATCGTCATCCAAGAAAATTTGTTTCCAAGATGATGTAAGTAGCTTTTATAATCTTCTTTCTTGTTGTTGTGCCTCGGCGGAAAATATGTTGCTGCAACTGTCATATTTTGATTATTGATTTTCACACCAACTTGACACATTTGTAGGGGGACTTCTTCGTGGTGTTCGATATTTTCTTTTATGATTATTGCGCTTCCACCTCTTGCTTGATTGCTGGGGTGGTTGACGTGGTATGTTTTGTAAAATCTTATATTAACAGTTTGTTGTTTTGTTAGATGTTTCTGTAATGAGTAAAATATCAATCTTTTGTAATGATAAGAAAGCTGCAATTGTTTCTTTATGCGTCAGAACACCATTTGCATTTCAGGTGACTATCCTAACATCTCGCAGCATTGTAGGATAGTGAAGCAGGTCTGGTGTAAATACTTTCTAGTTTTTCGAGTCTTTTCTCAATCTTCTTGAATTTATCTGATAAATCTTTAAGTAAACGTTCGGTTATTGTTTCCGTTATATTAGGAGTGTGATGTGCTGTAAGTACAACTCTGTTTTGATCTTGCTTACCTGATTTTTCATGTATGATATTTCTTTACATACAATATTGGAAGTGAATTGTCTAGGTTCTTATGTAGTTTGTTTAATAAGAATATTTCTTCTTTTTTGCAGTTCTTTAGCTTACACATCCTCTATAGCTAGCTCTGGATGTTCTTCTGAACAGTTACTGCATTTTTTTACCTCGCCACGTTGACAGAGACGAATTTCGATGGGTCATTTTTAGAATGCTTTTTCTCATTATTTTTGTACTTCTATACTTCACAGTTGTTTAATTTCACATCAGGCGATAGACCTATACTTTTATCAACGTTTCCACGATAAATAGTTTACCCAATAAGGTAGTTAAGAACAACAATAAAGTTTATTTCTATTACGCGTACTCAACGACAATTCAATGCACACAACAAATTCAGTGCAATTTCTGATATTTTCTTTAAATTTAGATTCGTCCAGCATAGTTCTTGACATTTGTTAATAGTTTTATGTTTTTCCAATACCATAACTCAAAAATAAATATCATGGAAATTTTGCTTACATACAGTCGGGATCTTCAAATATCAAGTACCTCATTTTATAGGGAACTCTTCAATAACGTTTTGGCATTTAACCAAAGCAATTCTAGACTTTTGTTTACATCAATTCAGTCTGATTTCTGATATTTTCTTGAAATTCAGAATAGTTCCTGACAATTGCTAACAGTTTTATGTTTTTCCAGTATCATGGCAAACTTCTTAATGTAATCTAGAATCCTGTCAGTATATTTACCAACCTTTTCTTACAGTTTTGAGAAAAGAATTTGAATTCGATTAACGTATTTGCTGAAATGTTTGTGATGTCTAGACTTTGGCTAAGCCAATTTCAAACTTCTTTTGGTGTTTGGTCCTTGTTAATCCAGATTAGCTTTTTTAGTCTGAAGTCTAACAGGAGCAACTCGAAACTTGCTTGCAGTAACGCATTCATCCAGTGGAATTTGAGACAATTTCTTGAATTCGCCAACTTGTTAGTGTAATAATTTTTATCATTATCTTAGTTTTAAGTCCTCCAAGAACAATTATAACCTTTTTCTCGGACTACACGGTATAGTCTTGGCAACTCCAGACTCATTTTTGAATTTTTTGCTGTATAGTGTAAGCTCAGATTTGTTTTTGAAGTCTAAAGTATAATTAGATTTATCTACAACTATTGAATTATCTATTCGTTATAGAATTTGGCATTCGATATTATTAATTAACAATTTTATTTTGTTTTAGACATCAATGGTTCATCTAATATCCTATTTGACTGAAAAAATCCATTGCTGGTACTACTACAGTGAATACATTTCAAGCATAAACGTATTTTACCCCCTTCAAGAATTAGCTCGTTTGGAAACGACGAGTACAAACGCACAAGCTGTAGCAGTTCTCTTCGTTTATTTAAAATTGTTAAGATATTGTTGTTTAAACACACACCTAGGACATTTATATCATACTTTATCAACAAGCGGAAGAGCATTGCGAGATTTATTTTTCCTCATTATCATCGTATTATTCGCATTTGCTTCTTGCGGTCACATTTTCTTCGGTTCTCAAGTCGAAGAGTTTTCAACTTTATCTTTAACAATGACAACTTTGTTACGAACATTCGTTGGGGACTTTAATTATTCGAGTTTAGAAAAGTATTATTGGAGATTAGCGCCGGTTTATTTCACGATTTTTATTGTTGTTTTAATTTTTATTGTTGCGGTAATTAACATTGTTGAGTTGTGTACAAAGAGTTTCTAAATTTTGTTTTTTAGAATTTATTTTTGGCTATTTTATGCGCTTATTTCATGGAAGTCAAAACTGATATGGGAATAGCTCCGTTCCGGATACAAATGTGTGGGTTTTGGGGACGCGGATGTACTAATTCGTTAAAAGATTGCGGGTGTAAAAGTTGTTTACCAAAAAAATTGTCGAAAAAACGTTATAGCGCTTCAGCTGAAGAAATAAGAACGATTCTTAAAAGATGTGGTTTTTCTGATTTGGACATAGATATGTTTATGGCACGTTACAACATAGATCCACACCAAGATATTCGTAGACAGGATGTTTCTCGATTAATCGAATCGATGAGAACACCAACTGTAGAAATAAGTAAAGTTTTTGGGTTTTATAAATAATTTGTGTATTTTATACAGATTTTTTTAAGATCCCGCAAAAGACTCACATAAACCCTATATATATTTTCCAATTTCTGAGAAATCTACTGATTGGAGAGGGGTCAAACCAGAACGTGTCATTGGTTTGGATGATTATAGAACGTAAATATTTGTATCTTTTATACGGCTAATTACTTAATTGTTATAATTTAGTCAACAAAATAGAATTGATCGGGTTGAAAATATAATGGGGGTAATTTCTGAAAAATTAGAAAAAATATTGAAGATTATGAATACGTTGGATGAAAGAAGTCGAGGTAGAGCAAAAAAATAGATTTGTTAAATTAATTTTGTTATGAAATAATTAAAATAAATTAATAACTACAAAATTTTGATGTAACGCTGGTTATCTATATTTGTTTTACATTATTAGTTAAGAATTTTAAGGTTTCTGATACGACATTCAAAAATTAAAAGTGGGAGAAGATGTGTTTAAACTGGATGAAATTGTTGAAGACTTAGGATTCGAGTTTACAGTTAATAAGTACAGTGTGTTAATTAATTATCGTACCCGACGTCATCATTACAAGTATGCAACCAATATCACAGTATGCGTATTAACACACTGTACTAATACTACAAAAACCCAAGGACAGTACAATCTAACAGGACTGCGCAGCTGTTGTTATGGTCTATGCGTTTACTGTGTATTTTTAAAGGTTATATCCTAGACGTCTTCATATTATTTTTGAAGTTTTATGTTTTTAGACATATTAATGTCTATCATATAACCTCTAAAAACATAGACAGTTACTGGACAGTTACCAGGCGTGGCAAATAGTGTGACGTGGAGTGCGGGCAACCAACTATGCAACCAACCCGTAGTGGACTACAAAAATATAATGAATGTAGCAGTCCTATTAGATTCTACTGTCCTTGACAAAAACCTATATAATTTATGCCGTCGTGTTGACGTCTGTTGTGATTTGCTTCTTAAATATGAAGTAAATGATCCATTTTTGAAGTAAATTGTTACTGGAGACGAGACATGGGTTGTCTATAACAATGTTTAATGCAAAAGATAGTGGAGTAAAAAAGAATTCGTGGTGTATTTACAAAGGAATCGTTTTTTTAGCTCCTAACTGACACAACAAACAATTCTAATATGATGAGCAAAAAATCTCTTTAGCAATCATTTTTTAGGTTAATTTAGAACATTTTTTATCCGAAACATTTCTTCCCGCCATTTTTTCATTTTAATTTATAATCAATTTTAATTTTAGAAATGTCAATTTTGAGTTTTTTTCTTTTAGGTTGGCAATTTTAATCGATGGACAAATAATCTTTCTAGCAATCAATTTTTAGGTTAATTTAGAACATTTTTTTATCCGAAACATTTTTTCCATCACTTTTCGTTTTTGATTTATAACCAATTTTAATCCTAGAAACGTCAATTTTGAGTTTCTCTCTTTTAGGCTGGCAATTTTACTCGATAGGCAAAAAAATTTTCAGTAATCATTTTTTAGATTAATTTAAAACATTTTTTATCCGAAACATTTCTTCTCATCATTTTTAATTTATGATTTATAACCTATTTCAATGCTAAAATTGTCAATTTTAAGTTGTTCTATCTTTTATGTTGGCAATTTTAACCGATGGGCAAAAAATCTTTTTAGCAATCATCTTTGAGATGAATTTAAATCATTTTTTGTCCGAAATATTTCTTCCCATCATTTTTCAATTTTGATTTATAACCAATTTTAATCTTAGAAATGTCAATTTTGAGTTTTTCTCTTTTAGGTTGGCAATTTTAATCGATGGGCAAATAATCTTTCTAGCAATAAATTTTTAGGTTAATTTAAAACATTTTTTATCCGAAACGTTTCTTTCCATCACTTTTTCTTTTTGATTTACAACCAATTTTAATCCTAGAAACGTCAATTTTGAGTTTTTCTCTTTTAGGTTGGCAATTTTAATCGATGAACAAAACAACTTTTTAGCGAACATTTTTTAGGTTAATTTAGAACATTTTTTATCCGAAACATTTCTTCCCATCATTTTTACTTTTTCATTTATAACCTATTTTAATGCTAAAAGTGTCAATTTTCAGTTTATTATCTTTAAGGTTGGCAATTTTAATCGATGGGGAAAAAATCTTTTTAGCAATCATCTTTTAGATTCATTTAGATCATTTTTTGTCCGAAACATTTCTACCTATCATTTTTCCTTTTTGATTTATAACCAGTTTTAATCCTAGAAACGTCAATTTTGAGTTTTTCTCTTTTAGGTTGGCAATTTTAATCGATGGGCAAAAAATCTTTTCAGCAATCTTTTTTTAGATTAATTTAAAACATTTTTTATTCAAAATATTTCTTCCCATCATTTTTATTTTTCCATTTATAACCTATTTTAATGCTAAAAGTGTCAATTTTGAGTTTATTATCTTTTAGGTTGGCAATGTTAATCGATGGGCAAAAAATCTTTTTAGCAATCGTCTTTTAGATTAATTTAGATCATTTTTTATCCAAAACATTTATTTCCATCACTTTTCCTTTTTGATTTATAACCAATTTTAATCTTAGAAATGTCAATTTTGCGTTTTTTTCTTTTAGGCTGGCAATATTAATCGATGGGCAAAATATCTTTTCAACAATCACTTTTTAGGTTAATTTAGAACATTTTTTTATCCGAAACATTTGTTCCCATCATTTTTACTTTTTGATTTATAACCTATTTCAATGCTATAAGTGTCAATTTTGAGTTTTTCTATCTTTTAGGTTCGCAATTTTAATCGATGGGCAAAAAATCTTTTTAGCAATCATTTTTTAGGTTAATTTAGAACATTTTTTATCCGAAACATTTCTTCCCATCATTTTTACTTTTTCATTTATAACCTATTTTAATGGTAAAAGTGTCAATTTTGAGGTTATTATCTTTTAGGTTGGCAATTTTAATCGATGGAGAAAAAATCTTTTTAGCAATCATCTTTTAGATTCATTTAGGTCATTTTTTATCCGAAACATTTCTACCCATCATTTTTCCTTTTTGATTTATAACCAATTTTAATCCTAGAAACGTCAATTTTGAGTTTTTCTCTTTTAGGTTGGCAATTTTAATCAATGGGCAAAAATCTTTTTAGCAATCATCTTTTAGATTAATTTAAATCATTTTTTGTCCGAAACATTTCTTTCTACCATTTTTCCATTTTGATTTATAACCAATTTTAATCTTAGAAATGTCACTTTTGAGCTTGTTCTTTTAGGTTGGCAATTTTAACCGATGGGCAAAAAATCTTTTTAGCGATCATCTTTTAGATTCATTTAGATCAGTTTTTGCCCGAAACATTTCTTCCCACCAATTTTCCATTTTGATTTATAACCCATTTTAATTTTAGAAATGTCAATTTTGAGTTTTTTTCTTTTACGTTGGCAATTTTAACGATGGGCAAAAAAACTTTTCAGCAGTCGTTTTTCAGATTAATTTAAAACATTTTTTATCCGAAACATTTCTTTCCATCACTTTTCCTTTTTGATTTATAACCAATTTCAATAGACTACAAAGTAATTAAATAGAACAAAACACCTTTTCTAGGTAAATAAATGGCAAATAAACACCCCACAACATTTATGATGCACCTTTTCTTTTTGAATAACGAAAGCTCAAATGTCAGTGTGACATGTTTATTTCAAAACATGATAAGACAAAACTCCCTGTTAATTTTGCCAACATTACAACAATTTGGCAGGTATTATAGAAAAAAAATGAACTATATATTTTTCGTTGAAGTAAAACTAGAACTACTAGACCTAGAACTAGAAACATTCGGGTTTAGCCGAACGTCTCTTAAGACGGCTAAATCCGAATGTTTTTAGTTCTAGTGTGAGTTCTAGTTTTATTTCAATGAAAAATGTACAAGAATCTAACACTGAATAATAACTAAAACAAGAACTAACACTAGCATTAGAACTAACACTCAACCTAGATCTAGAAACATTCGAGTTTAGCCGAACGTCTCTTAAGACGGCTAAATCTGAATATTTCAAGTTCTAGGTTTAGTGTAACTCAACCCAACCAAAGTGATAGTGTTAGATCACTAGCACCAACACTAGAACAAAATAAGTTATAATGCGATAATAAAAACGTTGCCATGATCTTAAAAATAACATATGATTACCGTTTTAAAAGTAAATAAATAATAAACGTCAAACTATATTTAAATTGAAAAAGAAGATACTTATTAAAACGTTTTTTTCAAAATGTATCGTTCGAAAATACCACCCACTGATGATGGCGGAAATAAAGGAGAGAAAAAAGGTAACGATTTTATTAATCTTAAGAAACCCAACATTAACAAATTGTAATTATTAATTTTCTTAATGTTTTTAGTGGCATGGACAACCCATGTTATGGCTCAAACGGCTCATTTATCTCGCGAAACTTATTTAGTATCAATAACTAGAGATACAATTATTTATTTAATATTTTGGATTAACTTAACATTTAGTATGTATTTGCTTTTACTTTTATTTATTTGATTCTATTTAATTCTTTTTCAATGCAGTTTGTTTAGCAATGATAAGTCCTTACATGTACCACATGACAGATGCAATTCGAAGCCAATTAGCGGATCAAAAATTTAAATCCGAATTTGATACGATGACGTTCAACGAGATCCGCACCGTCAGCGATTTTTGGTATTACATGGAACGTTTATACCCGAAAGTTATTTTTTCCAACAACCTCTTCGACGAGGAGGATGATACAAAAAGTAAATTCGACGTGGGTATTTTATACGTTAACAAACTAATTGGGGTACCAACGATTCGTCAAGTAACCGTCCGAAATAATTCTTGTACGACTCATCCAAGATTTCGAAGAGCTTTTCTCGTTTGCTATGATAGTTATCATTCGGGATCAATTTCAACGCATGATTTACCTACTCTTGGAGTTGTTGGACCAGAAATTGAAGCGTAAAATATTATAAAAATCCTAATTATGTTATAATTAATAAATTTTACATTTCTAGTTTTAAATGGCAATCTGAAGATGATTTGGAAGGTACTAGTTATATAGGAAGGGTAGCTACTTATGATGGAAGTGGATTTTTTACGAAATTGGGGCGTAGCCAACATACAACGACTCGAACTATATCGCGGTTAAAATATGGAATGTGGGTTCGAAGGGAAACTAGAGCAATTTTTGTTGATACAACGGTTTATAATCCAAATATGAATTTGTTTACTAATATTTTGTGAGTATTGTAAAATCTCGATATAACGAATTAATACGGAGAAGGAAGTGTTCATCATAACCGTTTTAAGAGATGTACAGCTAAACCGAAATGATTTCTAGTTCTTGGTCTAGTATTGGTTCTAGTGATAGTGTTAGTATTAGATCACTAGAATCAACAGTAGACCAGAACTAGAATCATTCGGGTTTAGCCGCACGTCTCTCAAGACGGCTAAACCAGAATGATTCTAGTTCTAGGTCTTGTGTTGGTTCTAGTGATAGTGCTAGTGTAAAACTAGAATTAATACTAGACCTAGAACTAGAAACATTCGGATTTAGCCGCACGTCTTTCAAGGCGGGTAAACTCGAATGATTTTAATTCTAACAATAAGTCTAGACTTGGTTCTATTTATCCATCGACCTAGGCTTGTAATTATCCTTTTAGCCCACTTAGCCTTTCTAGTATCAGCTCGCCATCTGCGCTCCCACTCCATCAGTGTTTCCTACTTCGTTATTTTTGGGTCTTTATCTTGTTCCCTGGTTGCCGCTCTATATTTGATTATGAGATCCATAGATAATTTTCCACCTCTTGCAATCCCTCTGTGGAGTTAGTTCTGTATGCGCTTATTGATCTTTGTATTCTCGTTAGTCTGATTATGTTCATTTTGACATCGCACGCTTGCTTCCAACATACATACATACATACAGAGTGGTCCATTTAACGTAAGACAAGCGGTTATCTCGAAAACAGTTCACTTTACATAAAAATGAACAGAAAAATTAAAAGTTGTTCTATGCGAAAGGGGAAACTATATGACGACAACATTTTTTTAACCTTAACTTTACAATAAAACATATAGGGTGCCATTTACAAAATTGATCGTGACCTTCATATAACCTTGAAAATAAGGTCAAGGTCAAAAAATGTTATCGTCATATTGGTTCATTTTTATGTAAAATAAACCGTTTTCGAGATAATCGTTTGTCTCACGTTAAATGGATCACTCTGTATAGTAGTTGAGCGTATATGGTTGCTCCGATTAATTTTCTTTTTGCTGGGCTCGGGTCGTGAGTGAAACCCATTATTCCATGCAAAGCATACAGTTTCCTCTGCTTTCTTTGCGGCATCACCTACATGTTGTATCAATTGCAAGTCTTTCGCCGGAGTAACTCCCAGGTACTTCAGAGTACTTTTAGTTTTTATCACTGTGTCTTTGACTCTAAGACTAATTGTACGTAAGACTCCCTTGTACTGTGTCGACTTCTTAACACTAAGATTTCTATTTTTTCCGGAGCAATTTGTAGTTATTATCTGCATAAGCAATAAATCGAGTACCCTCATCTGCGTATTATCTTACTAGTAGCTCATCAAAAAAGACGTTCCAAAGCCCCCAGAACCGCGTTCCAGAACCTGCACTCCTCTCGTTAGTTTATGACGAAAACCTTCGTATTCTACAAATCTTTCGCTCAGATAAGATTTAATAGCAGTGTGCTGTCTCGGACTTTCTGATCTTGTAAAGGTAGGTACCAAACATAGTCCATACTCCAGTAATTGCCTGTATAGTGTAGTGGTCTACTTCACCCCATTTCCTCTTTGCCTATGCTTCTATGTTTTCTATGAAGACCTCAGCCCATCCATCATAAACTTCCCACCTGTCCTGCCATTTGCGCCACAGCGTCCGCCTTGCCTCTTCCTTCCCTTCTCTTCCCTCCTCATATATGGTCATTCGCTATTCCACCAATAGATCGACTGGGGGCATGCCCGCTATTACCTCCACACTAGCGGCCGACATTACTCCGATTGCCAATTTCCTGTTTACTGATTGCAGTAAGTTCCTGTAATACTTATACTTCATTGTCCGACCCCATGTTGGTGCGGCATACAGCATTGCCGATAGAACCGTATATGCTAGAAGTTTCCTTTTACTACCTCTTGGACCGCCGATATTCGGCATTATTCTGCGCATTCATGTTGGCTATTTTAGTGGCTTTTTCGGCCCTTTTCTTGCGTTGGGAGTTCTTCTTCTTTTTTTTTTGGGGGAAACCCCCCGGTTCTTTGCCCTTTTGCCGGTTTTCCTTATTTTGGGCCCTTACCCTTTCATTCATTTTTCGGGCTTTTCTTCTCCCCTGCAGGACTACAATTTCAGTCTTATGGGCAGCGATACTGACACCCATGGAGTTTAACCTCTCCACCACTCTCTCTACCGCATAGCTGGCTTTTTTCTCTACAATCGTTTTTGTCCTTCCTGTAATAACCACCGCCAAATCGTCGGCGTAGGCCACTAGATTCACACCTTCTTCCATCTCCGTTCTTAAGACTTTATCGTAAAAGACATTCCATAATGTTGGGCCAAGTATCGAGCCCTGAGGTACCCCGTATGTTATTTCAAATCTGTCACCGTTTATAGCCACTACTTCTCTCTCGGATAGGTAGGATTTTATTATTCGTATGAGATACTCGCTTACGTTACCGTCTTCTAGGGCTCTAATAATTCCCCGCCATGTGGCAGAGTTAAACGCATTTTCTATGTCGAGTGTTACCATCACGCACAGCTCTTGATGTTGGAAGGCCTTTCTCTTGATACAGTCGACGATTCCTTGTATCCTGCTGATTGCGTCTATAGTTGATCTGCGTTGCCTGAAACCGTACTGCTCTTTATGCAGCATGTCCTTCTCGTCGATTTCAGTTTTCAATCGTGCCCTTATTAGCAATTCCAGCAGCTTCCCCATCGCATCCTCCAGACAAATCGGTCTGTATGAAACGCTCCCGGTCGTACCTTTACTTGGTTTTTCTACCAGAACTAGATTTGTAATTTTCCATTGTTTTGGAAAATAACCATGAGTTAGGCAGGTATTACATATTTTGACAAACGTATCTATGTTTCCTTCAACTGTTGCTACTAGGATTGCTGGCGTGAACCATCCGGTCCTGGTACCCTTCCTTGCATCTTTTTACGTGTCTTTGTTACGGCCACTTCTGAGATCATCAAGAACCAAGAATCACCAAGAACTTCGAGTTCTTGCTTAGTGAAAGGTGTTACTTCCGTTCTATTATCCTTCCTGGACCACTCAATTTTTTCATGTCTCGGGAAAAGTTTTTCTATCTGTTTCCTTGTTTCCTCTGTTCTGTGTTGGAAGTGGCCGTGGAAGTGGCTGTGTTCCAACAGCTCCTTCCACTTTTCCTCCTTGCTTTTAAAGATTAGTGCTTTTAGTTCCTTTTTAGCTGCTTGTGTAACCCAATGCTTCATCAACATCATTCGTCTGCACTGCTTGTTTAGCCCTCATCCTCGCGACGTTTCTTCGTAATCTAAGACTTAAGACTTAAGTCTTAAGACTTCTTTTTTTGAAATGATCGTCGCATACTTCATTTATATTCGAAATTATTTGTTCGGGGCTTCTGTTTACATTCGCAGGGCATAGGTTGACGCAATTTTCTTTATACCTTTTACGATCTTTTTTCGTAACTATCCAACCCTTTCGTTCTTCCGTTGGAGGCGCCGATGAAATCAATTTACCAACTTCGAATCTAATTGTTCGGTGATCGCTAAAATTTTCTAAATCTTCTTCCACTCGCCAGCTTTTGACTTTGTTTCCCATGTCGACCATAGCAGCCGTAAAATCTATGATAGATATACCTGCATGTACTTCCCCTTGTTTAATATCACTAGATTGGTTGCCATTATCCAGTCTTCTAGAACCTTTCCCCTCTGGTTAATTGTCCCAGAGCCTATCAGATGGGTTTTGGGATTTAGGTCGCCCCCCAGTATTATCCTTTCCTTCTTTTGTTGGATATGAATTCCAATGTTATATAGGAGCCTTTTGAAGTCTTCGATGCATCCATTTGGAGAAAAATAGCACGAGAACACCGTGCACAAAACCGTCTCAACATACACACGCGTCTTTAGACGCACGGCTAAATTCGAATGTTTCTAGTTCTAGAACTAGAAACTAAAAAAAATAAAACTAGTAAAATTAGAACTAACACTAGACCTAGGTATAGTTCTAGGTCTAGTGTTAGTTCTAATTTTACTTCAATGGAAAATATACAACAATCTAACGCTAAATAACAATTAAAACAAGAACAAACACTAGACCTAGAACTAGAAACATTCGGGGTTAGTCACACGTCTTTCAAGGCGGCTAAACCCGAATAACTCTAGTTCAAGGTCTTGTGTTACTTCTAGTGATAGTGCAATATTAGAACTAACACTAAAAGTCGCCAGACTTAGTTACTTTTTCAAAACCAACCTAAATCTAGTTACTTTTTGCCCCCCCAGATTTAAGTTGGTCACTTTCCCTATACTTATAACATTGGACGGTGACGTCACATGGAGCTGCTCCAGCTCCAGAACCGGTATTTCTTATCTACTTCTAGGTCTAGTGTTCTAGTTCTACCTTTGGTTCAATAAATTATATCTGAATTCAGTTCTAACTAGGTCCGTTATATCGAGATTTTACCATATTTTCATTATTTATAGATATACACATATTTGATTTACATTTTCTTACAGAATTGTTTTTGAATTACCACCAACAGGTGGCGTTTTACCCAACATATATTTTCGTACAATGAAACTAATAAGATACTTCACAATCCTAGATCATATCGTTCTCGGTTGTGAAATAGTTTTTTTTTGTTTCGTGTTGTTTTATTTAGCAGAGGAAATTCGCGAAGTAATCTTTTTAAAGTTTTATTATTTCAATCAAATTACGAATTACATCGATGTTTTAATCGTCGTGGTAAAGTGATGTTTTTTTTATTTTTATTCAGTTAAATTTTTTTCCTTTTTTGTGTTTTAGACATCGCTCGCATATTTTATATGTATATTGTATCAACATATCGTTGTAACCGCACTTATGGAAAAAGTGGGAAAATCAATAACGCAATATAATTCGTTTGCGAAAGTTTCCCGAAACGAAATGGTGATAAAAAACGTTCAAGCCGTTTGCCTTTTTGTTGCTACATTGAAATTGTTTCAATTTATTAATATTGATAAGACAATGCGGCATTTAACAAGAACAATTAAACGCGTAATTATTATATATTTTTTTTTTTTTTAAGAATTATTGATTTTATTTTTTTAGTCCGCCAAAGACGTACTCGGTTTTTCTATAATGTTTTTATTAATTTTCGTTTCTTTCGCTGAATTGGGTTATTTAATTTTTGGAACTCAAGTTCCAGCCTTTTCCGGATTTGGGGTTTCGATGTTTACTTTACTTAGAACAATTTTGGGCGATTTTGATTATGCGGAAATCGAGAAAGCACACAGAATTTTAGCCCCAATTTATTTCATCTTATTTATATTTTTGGTTTTCTTCGTTTTAATCGTAAATAAATCTACGAGTACTTAAAACATGATCAAAAAAGATTTTTTTAGAATATGTTTTTGGCGATTATAAGTGATACTTATAGCGATGTTAAAACTGAAATGGACGTGGCTCCCACACAAATAGAAAGAATTAGTTTTTGGCGTCGCGGTTTGTACAACTTTTTCACCGATTGTGGATGTGGAGCTTGTACTCCTAGAGCTATGGTGAAAATGAACGATGATAACGCAACAGTTGAAAATATTGTTTTAATTTTAAGAGGGTCTCAACAATTTCTTTTTAAAATTTTTATTTTAATGATATTAATGATAAATTTGTAGATGTGGTTATTCAAAATTAGACATCGACACTTTTTTAGCACGTTATAAAATTGAGAAAAACGCAGATGCTCGCGTTAGAGATGTAGCCTTGTTAATAGATGCGTTAAAAGGATCATTTGGTGAAACGGAATCTGGTAATCTTATTCAAAAATAAGTTTATTTAATTTAACAATTTTTTTGAAGCAACCAAAAAGGAATCTGCTGAACCCAGAAAATCCTCCGTAACAGGTCAAAACATCGCCCCAATTATTCCAATGGACGAATTTGTTGGGTAAAAAGACAACTTTGAATTCATTTTTTAATCTTGATTGCTTTTCTTGCTCATTTTTAGGCAGCAACAACGTTTGGATAAAATCGAAGCAGTTATGGCTGTTATTTCTGATAAACTGGAGGCTTTATTGAAACGATTAAATTCTTTAGAAAGTGTTAGGAAATACTGAGTATATGATTTAAATTGTTTTCAATAAATGTTAACTTAAACGTTCAACATTTTTCTTAATTAGCACACCCAAAGCTATATACATCTCCAATAGCTTGTTGACTTGTCCCAAGTAGTTATATTATCAAAACAGCACATGTTCTATCTCAAACACGCACATTATCAGCAGAATGAAGCGATTGAGCATCCTTGGTGTATCTACGGCCCAGCCAGAAGATTATTTCAGACATTCCATATACATTTGTCCATGTGTGATTTTTATCTGTGAGGATACCTCATTGGAAAAGTTATTCAACGGAAAATGCCTTCCTTTATACATTTTGGATTTTGCACCATCAGAAGATATAAAAAGAATCCATCAAATAATAACAAACATATTTGGAATGCGTGTCAAAATCGAAGAGTACAGAAAGCTAAAACAAATGCCTCAGTGCAAAAGGTGGCAAAGTTGGAGCCACACCAAAGCTTACTGCCACAAAAATCCGAGATGTGTTAAATGCGCTGGTGAACACTGGACCAGCGAATGCACTAAAGCCAAAGAAATCTCGGCTAAATGTTTCAAAATGTCTAAATAACAGCAATCCAATGGTTTTCGTCAGCATCAATATACACTACCAATAATACTTAAAGAAAACAATATTGATATATGTCTTATCTCTGAAACTCAATATTTATTACACAATTCACGTTAATTTTGCGGCTCAAGGTGGAAGTGCAATTGGACCGCATTATACATCACTTAACTAAGCGACATTTTATCGTTTTTAGAGATTTTCAAGCTGTCTGGTAGATAAAGGTGTAACTTATCTTAGAAAAAATGCAGAATACCAAAAGACCTAAAATACCATTTGTTTTAAAGGATAAAGCTAACCGCCAATCACGTTTTTCAAGTCCGATTTGCATCATACGTCTAAGAACCGACTTACAATTAGATACCACACTTAGATACACCAAGAAATTCTACAATAGAAAAATAGATGAACCTACAATTTCGGGCCAGTGTCGTTTTATTTTGTCTTTTATTTTATATAGAATTTAAGTCTAACTAGTTTCGGTCCTTGGCCATCTTCAGAGACTCTACAAATAGATTAAATGCGCTAGTTAGCATGAGATATCACTATGTTGGATATTTTTATTGCACTAAAACTAGAACTAACACTAGACCTAGAACTAGAATCATTGCCCTGATCATTGCCCTGATCTAATATTTTTTAATTAATTTACAGAAATACTTCGATGATATTTAATTAAATTTTAAGCAATTATTTCTACAAAAATTAACTCTCCCTTCAGGTATAAATTTTGAGTTGGGATTATATTTTGCAGCCCTTTTCGAATTGTTTCAACTTGTAACATGCCTAAAATAATAAGCATGAACCCTCATCATTAACCTTCAACGGTAAATATATTTTTTGAATTTTTTAAAAGAATTTTTTAAGAATGTGAAGGGATTTTCAAGGGTTTTCTGAATCTTAATTTCAATAATAATCTTATATAACTTCTTTGTATCGTATTTTAATCTTTAGTCGTGCCAGAAGAAGGACAACTGTACACAAAAATAAAAATAAAACATTTTTCATCGTTATTTCATTGATTTAATTTTTTATAATAGAAAATCATTCGGGTTTAGCCGTCTTGAGAGACATGGGACTAAATCCGAATGTTTCTAGTTCTCGGTCTAATCGTGAATAAAACTTTCAGTTGTCAATGTCAACTTTAATTTTATTATTATATTCGTAATCTTCATAAAATAACCTTTAAAGTGAGTTCAAACTTGACGCATTTATCTCAAAAAACCTCGAACTTTCAACCTTTAATTTTGACATATTCGTCAACTTCATAAAAAATCCTGTTAAATAAGTCGAAACTCGACATATTTAACTTTAATATTAATGGAAATACAATCACTTCCGGTTTGAAACATCAACGTCAATTTTGACATATTTGTCATCTTCATTAAAAAACCATTAAAATGAGTCCAAACTTGACGAATTTATCTCAAAAAACAAAAAAGTTAGAATAAAAAACGTTAAACCCTAAGTTAGCAACAATGAAGATAGCAATTTAATTTTTAAATATTAATACCAACCTTAATTTTTTATTATATTTTTGTTTTTGTAACATTCACATTTCAAACCGGAAGTTGCTTATATCTCGAGTAATATAGGAATTAAACGTATCTTGTTTGGACTCATTTTAAAGGATTTTTAACGAAGATTACAAATATGTCAAAATTGAGGTTGACATTTTAAACCTGAAGTTAGTTATCAATTATCATATAATAGAAGTTTTATAACTGAAGTTAATCTAGCGTTAGTCACTTTTCCGCACTTTCTTTTTATTTTTAACGTGCTTTTTGGGTCATTTTACATTGATTAAAAAAAATCGTCGATTTTTAAGCCACATGATGATGCTTGAATTTTTTCCAAGTTTCTTAATATTCCTTTTGTTAAAAAAGAGCATTCTTAAATTTTAACCTGTAAACTTATAACACTTCATCCTTAATTCCATTTTACAACTTTAATTTTGTAAATTAGTAACTAATAATCTGATTTCGACGTTTTTAACAAAACAAAAAGAAATATTAAGAAACTTGTTTGTAAAATGGATAAGATGAGAGATGTTAATCTATTTGTAGAGTCTCTGAAGATGGCCAAGGGCCGAAACTGGTTAGACTTAAATTCTATATAAAATAAAAACCAGTTTAAAAGTACAAATCAAACTCTAGATTATTTTCTTCAAAAATGTTTACTCGAATCGTCATCATTTTGTCTCTACTACTAAAATTATTTTATTATATGGTAACAAATTGCGCATCACTTCAGTTGAAAGTTTTTAATTTTGTTCATTATTTTTATTGTTTAACGTTAATCAATCTAACTAGATTTGAATGTTAATTTTCACAACACAACCTGACACACGTCTCTGATGAGGATATTATATCGAAACATGTTAGACTAAGAATTTAAAATAATAAAAAAAGCAGTAAAAGTACAGATTACAACTTTTCATTTATTTATTCAAAAACTGGTCAAAAAATGGATCTAATTGAACCTTACCGTCAAAGTAAACTTAATTGACTGAGTAAAACGGCAATATACGTTAGGAATACCGAAAAATATAGAAACAGGAAAAACCTGGGCATCTTCCTATTGTAAAAGTATAAACCCTATGTAGAAAATAAGACGGAATTTTTACGGCTCTCCAAGGCGTTTGAGTGAATTTTGTATTGTGATTCAAATATCCAATAAAAATTGCAGCATTCCGCTTAAAATAACGAAGTTGTAGGCTACTTCCGGTACACTGGATGTGGCAGCCATCGTGAAATTATTTTAAATCGAAAGATTGGGAATGAATAGCTCCTATACGTAAAATCTCAGAAACGTTCGAAACATGAAATCTAAAAATTTCTAATAGTCTAGTTGCGCGGAATTTCATGTACAAGGTGGGCAAATTTGGGTGTTATTATAGGCTATCTCAGAAACTATAAGAGATACGAAAAAAGTATGTGCCATGTCCCGGTCTCTTTTTCCGAGACTAATCCAATCCCGTAAAGATCAAATCTCTATCTTCTTTTGTTTTTAAGTTATAGCCAAAAAATCAAACTTTAGCGATTTCAAAAAATGCTCATATTTTGTTTATTTTTGAAATTATAGAAATGAGGTTAATACATACTTAAGACACTTTTTTGAATAGAATATACTGCCATTGAAAAATTTTAAACATAGCTAATAATTTTTGAGATATAACAAAGTTGTATTTTTTTAAATATAAACTATAGTTGATTATGATGTTACTGGAAAGAGCATATTTTTAGCTTTCCAATGATGTATCGCACGCATGATGTATCTGCAGAAAATAATTTTCAATTCTAAAATATTAAAGTATAATATTCAAATTTTTAATTATAGTAGGCGAGGAAAACGCAAAGTTACTACAACTTAGTTACTTACAATCCTACTTAGTTACTATAGCAACGTGAGTTTACTTGTCATTTCATTCATGAATTTTGCGAAACGAGTTTCCTGTTTAAGAAGTTCCGCATTATCTTTAAATAAAACGATAAAATTAAATATAGAATAATTGGAGTCCTTTGAAGATGATAGATACATAAGTCTTCATGTCTTCTTCTGAAAGTCCGTTCCCAGTTAATGATCCGTAATTTTCCTCTATCTCACCCAATTTCAAAAGAAAAGATTACTAATATCAAAAAACTTCTAAATCTTATGTTTGGGGAAAACTGGGAAAATACTACCAAAGATTTCGTTCATTGATGGGTCATTCTCAGAAAGGGTGGAAAAAAGGTTTATAAGAAAAAAATTCGTGTAATTAGTTTTCTAGGTTATATATTTATCGAAGAAAACATATTAGTATAACAAAAGTTTTGTACTTTGAGAATATAATTAAATAATGAAAATAATGTTAAGTTTAGAGGTAACGGAGTTGAGAAGTGGTAACGGAGTTGACAAATAATAATTTAATTCCAAGTTTCGTTCCTAACATCTCAACTTATTGCGTACTAAACTCAATGGCATATCATCATCCAATGATGATGAATCTGTATATACAACGCTATAACGTAGAGCTGTTCTATACTCCATAGATCCAAGTTATAGTGTGAGCAAAGCTGGCGGGGTTCACAACACAGACATGTCAGTTCTCTGAAAGTAAGTCTATTCCTTAGTATATTGATCCAAGCTACTTTCATCGTACCGTTAAACGTAGGAATATTTTCTGGGATCAGTTCGTCGATAATAGGGATTAGTTTTTCATCGATACGAAAGATCTTGATCCCTTTTATTGACTTTTGTAAGACTTTTACTAAAGTATCGTAATCTGGTGTGGATACTTTTAATATACAACTAAGGTACGAAAAGTGTGGAAAGGTTGCTTGACAGACTTAACCACGCCGCAATTATATCTAAGATATCTGATGCTTTAAAGAACCAAAGTGTGCAGATTGTACTTTTTCAGTATATTTACAGAAGTAATTTTTAGAAAAATCCATATGGATCAAGATTTTATCAACAGACAAATTCTTTTTCACTACATTTATACACCGATACTGATGGGATATATTCCTGAGGTGCAACATATATGTATCTCGGAATAGATTGTATCAATTCTGTAACTACTTGGTGTTTTTCTAGCTGCCTTTTTTGCTTGGTAAGTTTCTTACTATGTTCCCTCCATTCTTCCCTTTTACGTCTTTTATCTGGATCTGTTAACATTGATATCTTTTTTATTTTATCGTAATTAACTCTGCGATGATACCGCTCTCTTTCCTTCAATTTAGCAATTTCATAAGCCTCAGGATCATTTTTTCGTTGCGCTCTCAGTTTTCTCAAAGCATCCCTCTTCTTTTAATTGCATATTTTCTTTTACTTTGATGTTGTAACCGCAGCCTCACTTAAGACCTTACCTCTAGTTTTCACATTTTGGAACAAAAGAATAATAAAACGTAAAATCGAAATTATACTCAAAATTAGATCTCGTCTAAAGCAAGAGAAACATGGTGCATATAAATTTGGAAATTATCACATTTGAGCACTGTTTTCTTTTTCTTTAACTTTTAACTAAATGTTGGATACATTGAAAATAAAATATTTACAGTACATAATGCGTTGTAACTGTTAAATGTGGCTGTAAATGCTACTGCCTAACATTAGTAACGGAGTTGAAATTCACGGAGTTGAGAAAACGCGCTTTCAAAAATATTCAAAATTAAACTAAATTAGATTTTATGCTGATAGTTGCATACCGTGTTCGTATATTTTTTAGTAATTTACTTAATGTAATTACAGTAAGAAATCACTTAAACTTTACCTTTCACGACAGGTAACGGAGTTGAGAAACCGAATAGCCAGAAAATATTTGTAGAAATCAATCAAAATCTTGAATATATTCAGCGTGTCAATTTTATATTTTTTAACAGTTATAGTGTCATACTAATATTAACTTCCCTATGCAGTGTTAACAATGAGCCGGGTAACCATGGCGACACGAATATTTATATTAGAAGATGTGGTAACGGAGTTGAGATTAAAACGAGGGACACAACATTTTCGAGATTAATTTAAAACCAAAATGTATAAGAAATTGCAAACCATCTTCAAATCGATTTGTTAATTACCCCATATAAAAAAGACAGTAATAAAATGATATAATACTATTTTATTTCCGATTTAGAAATAGTTTTAGTTGCAATTTTACCAGAGGGACACCTGAATATTTAATGAAGTGCGAAACAACTTTGAAAAATTTTTGAATTTTGTGTACATAAAATATTTGTTACTTTAATGTAACTTAATGAAGTAATACTAATGAGTCTCACCATATAACTTTTTGCTCGAATAAATGTACTTATCTCAGTATATAAGATTTGATATTAGAGGGACACTTTTTTAGCCCTTCTGAAAACGACCCTGATACCGAACTGTTCTAACCTTACAACCAGTAAGTTTAATAGAAGAAGGTGACAGTCTGTGACTGTTTAGTTCCTGAAGTTGTTATTTATATTTAATTATTCATTAATACATTTCTTGTATTTTTAATAAACAAACTTTACTTCCTAACCATTTTTTATTGGTAAAAATATGCTCTTTTCAGTAACATCATAATAAACTATAGTTTGTATTTAAAAAAATACAACTTTGTGCTGTATCTCTAAAATCATCAAGTATGTTTAAAATTTTTCAACGGCAGTATATCCTACTTAAAAAAGTGTCTTAAGAACGTATCAACCCCATTTCTCTAATTTCAAAAATAAACGAAATATGAGCATTTTTTGGAATCATGAAAATTTGACATTTTGGCTATAACATGAAAACAAAAGAAGATAGAGGTTTGGTGTTTGCGGGATTGGATTAGTCTCGGAAAAAGAGACCGAGACATGGCACCTACTTTTTTCGTATCTCTTATAGTTTCTGAGATAGCCTATAATAACACCCAAATTTGCCCACCCTGTACAAGAAAAAGCTGTGCTCTTACATATAGAAGATCATAACTTTTTGTAATTTCGCCATAGATTCTCATCCTGCGTACCTTGTTGTCTTCTAAAAAGAGCAAACTTTACATAGAAGGTAAAAAAGAATTTTTCTGCAACCCTCCACGGATATTGAATAAATTTTTGGTTTACATTTTGTCTAAAAAAAATCCCTTTTTTACATATTATGGACCATTGTTTTAAAACTACCATTAAATATACAGTGGCGTCAAATGTAGTATATTTTATGAATTTTTTTTGTAGACTAGTGTTATTAAAATATATCTATGTAAATATATTTTAAACGACTTTGCAATATTAATCTGTGATATTGGTGGCATACTTTGTCGGGTACGATAATCAATTAACATACTGTAAGTATGATACTGCGGATTCCAAATGGTAGTACAAAAATTAAGTACACTAAATACATAAGCAAAATATAAAACTTTTACTGCTTCAACGCTTTTGCTTTTCCAACTAAGTTTAAACTTAGCATTATCAAATGTGACCCAAGGTCTTTAATTTGAGATACTCTGGGTAAAACTTAATCATCTAAGCTGTAACCGTATCTGATAGCATTCGAACTTCTTGAAATTCGTGCAAACAATTTCAGATCATCTGTATATATTAAGCACTGGTAGTGTTTTATGACTTTGTTTTAAATATCATTGATGTAAATATTAAAAAGAAGGGGGCCAAGTTGCCTTCCTTGAGGTACGCCTGAAGGGACGGACATTATATCAGAATAATATCCATTAATAGACACCACCTGAGTTCTACCACGAATATAAGAACCAATTAATCGCAACAAATAGTTATCAATCATATCCATTATATCCCATTATCTGAAGCTTTGACAACAAGAGATTGTGATCAACACGATCGAAAGCCTTTCTGAACTCTATATATATGGCATCCACTTGAGTTGCTTGATCAAGAGAAAAATAATAAATAAAATTGTAATAAATTTAATTAAAGAGTTAAATTCAAGACTACTAATCAAAAAACTAATCAAAACAACGACTCTACATAGTTGATTCACTTGAGGTTGCCTTATCTGGATCCTTAATCGTTCCCAATCTTTCTAAAAGCGCATCTAATTTATCACCCAACTTCAGCATCATATTCTCAATTAAAACCAAGCGACTTTGTTGCCTACGAAAAGAAAGATTTACAAACAACTTTAATTAAATGATTTTCAGCGCTTTTTACTCGGAGAAATCATCCAAAGCCACAATCGCCGGTGGATTTACGTCTTTAGAAGGGTGAATTTTCGGCAAATACCTATTAGGAACGTTAGCTTTTAAATGAGCAAGCAGTTTTGAAACATCTTTAACGCGAACTTGAGAATCAGGGTCGATATTGTAACGACCCAAAAATAAATCAATGTCCAATTCTGAATAACCAATTCTAAAATGAAATTTTATTAATTTAATTATAACTTTTGTAAAGAAAGTAACCGTTTTAAAGCTGCGCGAACTTCTTTAGCCGAAGGATTTACGCGACCCCCCGCGACTAAAGCTTTTGGAGCAATTCTTTTACAACCTATTCCAACCATTATATTATATAAACCAGTTTTCCAATAATCAGCAACTCTTCTTTCAGGGGCTGATGTTGTTAATTCAGTTTTAGCATCGCTGTAGGTGTCGTTAATAATAGCCAAAAACAAATTCTAATAACAAGAAAATTAATTTAAATGTTAATTTCTTTTGAGTTAACTCACTAATAAAATAAGAAAAACTGAAAATATATAAAGAAGGTAATAAAGTTGTGCAACATATCTATCGGCGTCTTCAAATTCGTTGTAATCAAAATCGCCCAACATCGTTCGTAACAAAGTAAACATCGCCAAAGGTATCGTAGAAAAATGAACAATTTGATTTCCAAAACATAAAGAGCCAAATAACGCGAAAGCCATAAACATTACGAAGAACATTAAGGCAAATGCAAAAACATCCTCTAAACACTGCAAAAATAAATCATTAAAAAACGTCTTATAAATAAAACAAATTGAAAACCTTTTCAATCGTTTTGTTCAAAATAGTCATGGTAAAATTAAAACTGAGATATTTAAAAATCTTGAAATAAACCAAAAAGATCACCACCGCCAAATAATTACGCATAGAAATCTCATATCTGGTAATTGTTTGAAAGCTAATATATTCACTCCTATCTTTTTTCATCGCTTGAATCACTTCGTGCATCGCCACCATTTGAGTAAAAAAATAATAAAAATATTTAATACAAGCCTAAAAAAAGTTAATTATCAGTTTTAATCAAACCAATTATAAAGTGATGTACAATAAATATAACGATGTTTATTATATTCCAAAACGAACGAAAATACTCCAATTTGACAAAACACATGCTTCGAAAAGCTTCAAGGATAAAAAATAAAATGAAGATCAGAAATACAATTTGAAAGCCGGCGTTGATGTAATCTCGCATGCTCACTCGAGTTAATTTCAATGTGTAAAAGTAGGCTGAAGGTACAACACCCCCACCGGCGGGTAATTCAAAAAGAAATCTAAAATGTATATTAAAATTTTTTTTTAAAACGTTTTTCCATCTTACTTGACAGAGCAAAATAAATTAATACTAGGGTTGTAATAAGCAGCGTCGATAAACACCGCTCGAGTTCCTTTTAAGATATATCTCTGATTTTTAAGTCGCCTTGTAATATTTCTACTCTCCTCATAAGTAGTGCCTAATTTTTCTTGATAACCACCACCATCGTATACAGAAACTCTGCCGGTAAACGGTTCGGCTAACGTTTGTTCCGGATGATGAAAAGTGTAACTTTCTGAAGTGTCCTCTTTCCTATACGCAGAACTGTAAGGTGGGTAACATCTTATAAACACTGACGCAAACGGTTTAGTACACTCATAATCGGTAACCATTACAGCACGAATTACAGCTGGGCCCACTAAAATATTTTCATGACCTAATCCTCTACAATAAAATGTAAAAATTACTATAAAAATACAATAAAATCTTGATATAATAGATAGAAGCTTATAGATAGAATCCAAGCCGGGTTATTCCTCAGGTTCCTCTATGAACATGGAATCAGAGTTGGGACGGATACAGGAAAAAAGTATTCGAGTACCGGATACCGGATACTTACAATGTATCCGGATACTTTTTTAAAAAAGTACGGATACTTTCTCCATAACAGTATCCGGATACATGTATCCGGCAGTTTTCGTATACATTCTCGGATACTTTTAAAATGACCTAAATTATTGTTAAATTAATATATCGTCATCCATATTTTACTTATAGTGACCCCTAATCTTTTCTCCTATATTTTTCCCGAGTGGTGTCTCGCTGGGAAAATTTAGTGTGCACTTGCTAGGGAATAAGTTCTTTGAATTTTTTCTAAAACGGGAAATGTAGTCTACAAATTTTATTCGGAGAGAGAGCCCTCGATTTTCCCACAATAATAAAAGAGAAGAACAACTAACTTCCAACATGTAAAGCCACAATTATTGATGTAGTCAGAAAAGATGTATAATAGTAGAAGAAAAAGAAAAAAAAATGGGGATTCAAACACTCTGGTGTATATGTACGTTTGTAATAATAGAATAGGAAATAAAAAAAAACTTAATTAAAAGGTATCCGAACGCCGAAAAAGGTATCCGGATACGGAATACTTTCAGGTTTAGTCACGGTTACCGGATATCGGATACCAAATTTGAAAAGTATCCGGATACAGAGTATCGGATACTCAAGAAGTATCCGGATACAGAAGTAACCGGATACTACCCAACTCTGCATGGAATAGATAAACTCGGGGTATTCCACGAGTTGTCTATATGATGTATAAATGTAGGAAGGTAGAAATGTAGGTAACTCTAGTTTTAATTGTTATTCAGGAACTAACACAAGAGCCAGAACTAGAATCATTCGGGTTTAGCCCTTTTAAGAGATGTACGGCTAAACCCGAATGTTTCTAATTCTACGTCTAGTTTCAGTTCAATGAAAAATATACAACAATCTAAGCTGAATAGTGTCTTATAGTGAAATGTATGACCTGTTTCATGAAGAAAACCATATTTCAATATCTCTATTCGTTCATTATTATTTTTGTCATTATTTTGAAAAAATCATGAAAAATCGAATTCTTAAGATTTCTTCATAAAATTTTCGGGCCTTATAGCGAAACATATTATCGTACATCTTTTTCATGAAAACAATCGCATTTGAAAATTTCTATTTGTTCATTAGATAATAATTTATAAACTCAACCTCAATTTATAATGTAAACAATTTTTAGCATAATTTTGAAAAAATCATAAAAAATCGAATTTTTAAGATTCTTTTTAATGAAATTTTCCTGCCTTATAGCGAAACATATTATCGTTATCATGAAGAAAACCGTATTTGAAAATCTCTATTCGTTCATGAGATAATAATTTATAAACTTAACCTCAATTTATAGCGTAAACAATGTTTACCATAATTTTGAAAAAATCAAAATCGAATTTTTAAGATTCCCTAATGAAAATTTCAAGGCTTATAGCAAAACGTATAATCTTTTTCATGAAGAAAACCGTATTTGAAAATCTCTAATGGTTCATGAGATAATAATATTTGAACTCAACCTCAATTTATGACGTTAAAAATTGTTGTCATTACTTTGAAAAAATCATAAAAAATCGAATTCTTAAGATTTCTTAATGAAATTTTCGGGGCTTATAGCGAAACGTATGACCTTTCACATGAAGAAAACCGTATTGGAAAATCTCTATCCGTTCATGAGATAATAATTTTTGAACTTAACCTCAACTTATGATATTACAAATTAATGTCATTATTTTAAAAAAATCATAAAAAATTAATTTTTAAGATTCCCTAATGAAATTTTCGGGGCTTATAGCAAAACGGATGATCTTTTTCATGAAGAAAACCGTATTTGAAAATCTCTAATCGTTCATGAGATAATAACATTTGAACTCAACCTCAATTTATGACGTTAAAAATTTTTGTCATTATTTTGAAAAAATCATAATAAATCGAATTATTAAGATTTCTTAATAAAATTTTCGGGGCTTATAGTGAAAAGTATGACCTTTTACATGAAGAAAACCGTATTGGAAAATCTCTATCCGTTCATGAGATAATAATTTTTGGACTTAACCTCAACTTATGATATTACAAATTTCTGTCATTATTTTGAAAAAATCGTGAAAAATTTAATTCTTACGATGTCTTAATGAAGTTTTCGAGGTTTATAGCGAAACGTATGACCTTTTACATGAAGAAAACCGTATTGGAAAATCTCTATCCGTTCATGAGATAATAATTTTTGAACGCAACCTCAATTTATAACGTTACCAATTTTGTCATTATTTTGAAAAAATCATAATAAACCGAATTCTTAAGATTTGTTAATGAAATTTTGGGGCTTATAGCGAAACGTACTATCGTTTTCATGAAGAAAACTGTATTTGAAAATCTCTATCCGTTCAGGAGATAATAATTGTTGAACTCAACCTCAATTTATGACGTTATAAATTTTTGTCATTATTTTGAAAAAATCATAAAAAATCGAATTCTTAAGATTTTCTAATGAAATTTTCGGGGTTTATAGCAAAATGTATGATCTTTTTCATGAACAAAACCGCACATGAAAATCTCTACCCGTTTATGAGATAATAATTTTTGAACTCAACCTCAATTTATAACGTTACCAATTTTTATCATTATTATGTAAAAATCACAAAAAATCGAATTCTTAAGATTTTTTAATAAAGTTTTCGGGTTTTATAGCGAAACATATGATCTTTTTAATGAACAAAACCGCACTTGAAAATCCCTATCCGTTTAAAAGATAATACTTTTTGAACTTATCTTTAATTTATAACGTTACCAATTTTTGTCATTATCTTTAAAAAATCATACAAAATTGAATTCTTAAGATTCCTTAATGACATTTTCGGGGTTTATAGCAAAACCTATGATCTTTCTCATGAAGAAAACCGTATTTGAAAATCTCTAGTCGTTCATGAGATAATAATTTTTGAACTCAACGTCAATTCATGACGTTACAAATTTTTGTCATTATTTTGAAAAAATCATAAAAAATCGAATTCTTAAGATTTCTTAATGAAATTTTCGGCGCTTATAGCGAAACATATAATCTTTTTGATGAACAAAACCGCACTTGAAAATCCCTATCCGTTTAAAAGATAATACTTTTTGGACTTAACTTCAATTTATAACGTTACCAATTTTTGTCATTATTTTTAAAAAATCATACAAAATCGAATTTTTAAGATTTCTTAATGACATTTTCGGGGTTTATAGCAAAACGTATGATGTTTCTCGTGAAGAAAACCGTATTTGAAAATCTCTATTCGTTCATGAGATAATAATATTTGATCTCAACCTCAATATATGACGTTAAAAATGTTATTAAATAATTATTCTTGAGACGATCTTTTTTATAAAAAGAAATAATTTTATTTCATACTAATATTTCGATCGTTTTTTTCGATCGTCATCAGAGTATAAAAATTATGTTTCTTAAGGAAATAACATAAATGAAACCATAAAACGTTTATAACAATAATTGGAGATGTAAAAAGTTTATGAAAAATAAAACGTGAAAAGTGACAACTCAGTTTATTTATGTTATTTCCTTAAGAAACATAATTTTTATACTCTGATGAAGATCGCAAAAAACGATCGAAATATTAGTATGAAATAAAATTGTTTCTTTTTATAAAAAATATCGTCTCACGAATAATTATTTAATATTATTATCAATTACGATCGATTAATTTCTTTTATTTATTGTTAAAAATGTTTGTCATTATTTTGAAAAAATCATAAAAAATCGAATTCATAAGATTTTCATAATGAAATTTTCGAGGCTTATAGTGAAACGTATTATCATTTTCATGAAGAAAAGCATATTTGAAAATCTCTATTCGTTCCTGAAATAATAATTAATTTCTAAACTCAACCTCAATTTATAACGTTACAAATTTTAGGGTCATTATAGTTCTAGGTCTAGTGTTAGTTGTAGTTTTACACTTGCACTATCACTAGAACTAGAAACATTCGGGTTTAGCCGTCTTTTGAGACGTGCGGCTAAACCCAAATGATTCTAGTTGTTGGTCTAGTGTTAGCTCTACTTTTAGCTCAATAGAAATACACAACAATATAGAAGTGCATAACAATTAAAACTAGAACTAACACTACTAACTACTACTTCGAATTCGACTAACACAGCGTTAGTTCTAGTTTTACACTTGCACTGTTACTAGAACTAGCATTAGACCTAGAACTAGAAGCATTCGGGTTTAACCGTCTTTAGAGACGTGCGGCTAAACCCAAATGCTTTTAGTTGTTGGTCTAGTGTTAGTTCTAGTTTTAGTTCAACAAATATATACCACAATTTAGCACTGAATAACAATTTAGACTTTCTAGTTCTAGGTGTCATAAGACGGCTAAATTCGAATGTTTCTAGCTCTAGATCTAATATTAGTTCTAGTATTAATTGTTATTCAGCGTTGACGTCACGAACGGACCTTCGAACTACACACTTATTTTGAGATGTAGTAGTCCTCTTAGATTCTACTTTTCCTTATTAATCCGTTATATCAAGGATTTACTGTATATTGAATTAAATAACCTATCAAATAAAAATTCTTCATCGACGTAGTCTTCATCTAACGTGTCATTCTCATTTCCTGTCGAATTCCCAGATGTAGCAGTGTCATCAGCTTGTCTTTTCCGTTTTGGTGGTTCATCTGAAGATCCAGATTCCAATGTAGATAACTCTATTTCTTCGACTTCATCAATAATTGCATCTTCCGTGTCGTTATCGGTTATATTATCATCTTCTGGTTCTAAAGGTCGCAAAGTTCCCGGAAATTGTTGAGCGTGCAAATACTTTATCAAATGGTTTCGAATGAAATCCCACATCTTTTCGATGGTCGTAATATCTTCAAATTTGACTGTGGAAGTTTCTTCTAAAGTCGGACTTTCATGGCCGGCTTGTTCTTTGAGGTGATCGCGAAGCGATTGACTCATAAAAAACATTTTGTCGTCAACCATGCCCAGGGCAGCTTTTTAAAGATTTAATTTAATAAAAATTAAAATATTAATTTAATTAATTTTTACCAACGGTCAAACAAACGACGAAAGCTACGTAAAGAATTGTCGCTCGAGCGTGAACGAGCAAAAATAAATCCCTTTTGAAATAAGGCCCCATTTCGCCGGTGACCCATTTGGTTTTTTGAAATTTATCGAAATCGTACTTTCTATCTTTTTTGAAAACCTCTTTGTCTTTTTCGCGGTCTTTATCGGAGTGTTCTGATGATGAGCTGTACTCCATTTCAATTAATTTTTGACTTTTATTTTTAACGAATTAATCATTTAAAATATATTGATCTTTTTTCCATGGAAACCAAATTCCAAATTGACTTCTTTCATTAAGTTATTAATGATTGAAAGTAAAATCGTCATTTTGAGGTTAACGAACTATTCGTTTTCGTTTCTCTTACTTTTGTTGAATTAAGATTGATGGAAAAGGATGGATGCAATGAAAATACGAGTTAATAAATAAGAAAATAAGGGAAAAAAGTGCAGAGGTGAGAAAGAGGGACAGAAAGTAAGTTTATCAATTTTATGTATTGGGAAAGAACGGTTTGTTCTCGTTGCGGATGAAATGGAGCAAAGCAAAAGCGGTCCCAAAGAGAGAGACTTTCGCCTAATGTCAAGGCTAGTGTGGAATCCAATCTTTCTTTTTACCACCACCACAATCACCAGTCTTCTTACAACTGGTTACTTCCGAAAGAACCGTTCATTTTAGAAGGGATCTTAGATATAAAAAGATCCAACCAGCGGAAGTTATAATCAGTCTTTCAAGTTAACAGCTTACTAAAACATTACCCACTAAATAAAAATGGTTAAGGTAGTTATTCTTATTAACTTTTAAATTTGTTTGAATAAATTAAAAAATTGCATTTTTATTTCTAGTTCATTATCCTTTTGGTTGTTGTCGTTTTCGATGGAGTTTTCTGTGGAACACTTCTCGGAGGTATGTTTTAAGTTATTAAACTTTCCCAACACTTTTTTAATCTATCACAATTGGAAAGTGAAAAGAAAGTTATGCACCTAATAAGCAAACGGATTTAATTAAATATAATTAATTGAAATTTGTTAGGTCATGAAACTTTGAGTTTCGGAGGTGGTGGTGGAGATGATTATGGTGGCAGCAGTTTTGGAGCTGGCAGTTATTCTGGATTAGAATCTGCTGGAGGTGATAGCCTTCAACAAGCCGGAGGCGATGGAGATTATCATCATGGAACTAGTGTTGTTGGTGGTGGACAAGCACCTCAAGGACAAACTTTAGACTTAACTGATGGAGGTAATAAAAAAATTTAAATATAAATTATTGTTTTCTATTCTGCTATAACTATAACAACTAAGTAAGAAATATTTTACCTTTAGGAGTTTCTGAAAATCGTTGGAAACTTTCTCTAATAATGTTTTATTCGTAATGGAAATCTATTAAAGCGTCCAAAATTTTTTTGGAAATTTCTGCAACTTCGTGGATCTCATTGGTAACTCACAAGACGTCTTTAGTAGTTTCTGGATATCATTGGAAAGTTTTTGTAATCTCTAGACATTTTTAATTTTCCTCCAAAAATATTTTATTGTCTTTACAAATCTATTAAAGACCTAACAAATGTTCTGGTAATCTCAAGACAACTTTGGAAGTTTCAGGATATCATTGAAAACTTTTTGGAATCTTTAAATATCTGCGATTATCCTTTGAAAACCTCTAAAAGTGTACTAAAGACTTTCCAAACCCATCACAATACAACTTTAGAGATTTCTGGATATTATTGGAGACTTTTAGAATCTCAAGATATCTTTGAATTTCTTTAAAAACCACCCAAAAAAATATTTTGACGTTTATGCAAATCGTTTGAAGATCTTGAACAATTCTTGGAACTCCCAAAACATTTTTAGGACTTTCTAGATGTCGTTGAAAACTATTAGGTATTCCTAGATATCGTTGAAAATCTTTAGGAAACACTCCAAACAAAACTCTCAACATCAAAGCTAATTCTACACTGTCACAGAATATAGTAAAGCATGCAATCTTTTTGATTTTGACAGCCTCAAAGTTAATTGCAAAAGTGATTGCGCACAAATTCTGCAGACTGGAGTTTTTGCTTTCTTTTAGCAAAAAATGTTAAGCACACCTCTTTAGAAATAACATTCAATTCTCCAAAAGGTACACAGGTTAGCCATGATGTTGGCAACACCTTAATGTAACAGTATATAATATAATCCTTATAAAACTCATGATACAAAGATGAAGTTGCGACATATTTTAATAATTAATTAATTTTATTTACCTTTTTTTTCAGGTGGTCACCAAGGTATCTTCGGTGGCAGCTTCATCTCAGCTGGAGTAGGTGGAAAATCTGGTCAACACGCTGAAGAAGGTGGTCACGAAGGGCTCGGAGCTTACGCTGGTGCGTCCAGTTACGATGTCGGCGAACACGGCAGCGAAATTGCTGGAGTTTTATCCTCGAGTGTCCACGACATTCCCATCGAAGCCCTCCATTATCACCATTAAATCGGTGTTTGAAGACTGAAGAAGAAAAAGTAGGATATTGTAAATAAACGTTGTTGTTCTTTCTGTGTTAAAAAACTGTTTTTTTTGTAGATCATTTTGTTGTTATTATTTTTTTGTTGTTACATTTTTAATATTAATCTTATTTGTTGATTCTTTTTTTAAATAATAAAAGTTTTCTATTAATTAATTTTCTTTTATTTATTTATATACACTGTGTTAATTAATTGCAAGTATGCAACCAATATTACAATATAATATAATACAAGATTTGCGTATTGCAATACCAATACTGTGATATTGGTTGCATACGTCGGATACGATAATTAATTAACACTCTGTACTATACCGGGAATATCATACAGGGTGCCCATTATGTATGGAATATAGTATATATCTCGGTAAATGTTGACTTTATAAAGAAACATTTTATACAAAAGTTGTTTCATATTTTATTTGCCATAATAAGACTGCATTCAATTGTTTTTAATTCAGGAAACAAATGAATAACGAATAATACTTGAATTTTTTTAAATGGCAATGTACCCTTTTGTTAGGGTCATTTGATAGAGATTACTTTTCTCTTTACGATGACGTAAAATTTTTGTACCCTTACATCAGAAAATTCGTTATCAAAAGTATTGAAAAAAATAGTTCACAGACAACTGACTGAGATTCTGAAGGCTGAGCACATTATTCCAGTGAAACTGCTCTGAACAATATAGTGGATGATATTGTTATTGCAACTGACTCTTATGGGGCTGTTGGATTTCTCCAGAGCATTCGATACTCTAAACCAAGACTTGTTAATATCAATTCTTGACCATATCGGGCTAGATTCTATCTCATTAGCTTTTTTCAAAAATTACCTTAATAGCAGGATTCAATCAGTCAGCATTGATCAAGTAAAGTCGAGTGCTTTGGAGATAAGGTCTGGGGTCCGCTTCTTGGCCCTACACTATTTAAAATTTACACGATAAATTTCAATAGCTTTGTTGATTTCTGTAGGGTCCACTATAATACTCAGATTTATTTGTCCTTTTCTGAGGGCTACTTTGATAAAAGCTTCAAAAAGTTTAAACGTGACTTGTATGATATTATCGATGGAGCACGGGAATATTGCTTAAAAATAAACGCTAATAACACCTAGATCATTCTGTTTGGGCCCCCGAAGATAAAACAGAAATTTATTGATGGTTTTTATCGCCTGTCGATAGGAAATACTCTTATTCCTTTGAGTAAGTCTGTCAAAAACCTGGGACTGGTCATGGATGAGGCGTTAAGCTTTAGAGAGCACACTAAACAGTTGATTGGTCGTTAAAATTGATTTACTCTAATCGTTATAATCTTGACTGGCACACAAAAAAGCTTTTATGCAACTCTCTCGAATCGTTTAATTTTTTTTAACATGAAATCTTGCAGATACATCCACAAAGCCTGCTTGTATATAGGGTCATCACTGAAGTTACCTCTCCATACCTGGCAGATATTACCTGCACGACAGGATTAAATTCAGAACGGCCGTACTGATAAACGTAATGATAATATTTGTGTTTTGATTCCCTTTTATCATCGTGTGTGTTAATGAATGTGTAAATAATAGTTGTACTTCAACGATGAAAAATTTGATTTATGTTTTTCTGTTGGTACCGGTTTCGGCGTGTTAATGCCATCCTCAGGAAACCACGTTACACAATTTTATGTTTTCTTTTTATCAATTTGTTTGTTTAATATATTTTATCAAAATAGAAAATAAAATACGGTGTTTTTCTTATCAGAACAGATTTGTTATCGCCATATACAATAATTTACCTCGGCACCTGATTGGACTACACCTGAACCGATTTAAAAGAGCATTGAAGTGTTGGGTGATGGTTGAGTAACGGCGGGCTTCAGTGAGTAGCTAGCTGTATATGTACATGATCCGATTCCCAAGTGTTATGTTTAATTATTAATTACTTAAGAAAGCAATAATTTCATCAATTTTTCATATTTTCGTATCTATCTCGATATTGACGTATCTAAGAGCAAAAGTGCAAGAGAGCAATATTGTTAACAATAAAATTTGCTACAATTTTTGTTATAAAAGATTTCCTATAGCATGCTCCGATTCCCAAGTGTTACCTTTAATAACTTGAAAAAGAAATAAATTCATCAAATTTTCATATTTTCGTATCTATCTCGATATTGACGTATCTAAGAGCAAAGGTGCAAGAGAGCAATATTGTTAACAATAAAATTTCCAACAATTTTTGTTATAAAAGTTTTCTTACAGCATGATCCGATTCCCAAGTGTTACTTTTAATTACTTGAGAAAGCAATAAATTCATCAAATTTTCATATTTTCGTATCTATCTCGATATTAACGTATCTAAGAGCAGAGGTGCAAGAGAACAATGTTGTTAACAATAAAATTTGCAACAATTTTTGTTATAAAAGTTTTCTTATAGCATGATCCGATTCCCAAGTATTACTTTTAATTACTTGAGAAAGCAATAAATTCATCAAATTTTCATATTTTCGTATCTATCTCGATATTGACGTATCTAAGAGCAAAAGTGTAAGAGAGCAATATTGTTAACAATAAAATTTGCAATAATTTTTGTTATAAAAGATTTCCTATAGCATGCTCCGATTCTCAAGTGTTACCTATAATAACTTGAAAGAGCAATAAATTCATTAAATTTTCATATTTTCGTATCTATCAGGATATTGACGTATATAAGAACAAAAGTGTAAGAGAGCAATATTGTTAACAATACAATTTGCAATAATTTTTGTTATAAAAGATTTCTTATAGCAAGCTCCGATTCTCAAGTGTTACCTTTAATAACTTGAAAGAGCAACAAATTCATCAAATTTTAATATTTTCGTATCTATCTCGATATTGACGTATCTAAGAGCAAAAGTGCAAGAGAGCAATATTGTTAACAATAAAATTTGCAACAATTTTTGTTATAAAAAATTTCCTATAGCATGCTCCGATTCTCAAGTGTTACCTTTAATAACTTGAAAGAGCAACAAACTCATAAAATTTTCATATTTTCGTATCTATCTCGATATTGACGTATCTCAGAGCAAAAGTGTAACAGAGCAATATTGTTAACAATAAAATTTGCAACAATTTTTGTTATAAAAGTTTTCTTATATCATGATCCGATTCCCAAGTGTTACCTTTAATAATTTGAAAGAGCAACAAATTCATCAAATTTTCATATTTTCGTATCTATCTCGATATTGACGTATCTAAGAGCAAAAGTGCAAGAGAGCAATATTGTTAACAATAAAATTTGCAATAATTTTTGTTATAAAAGATTTCTTATAGCATGCTTCGGTTCCCAAATGTTACCTTTAATTACTTGAGAAAGCAATAAATTCATCAAATTTTCATATTTTCGTATCTATCTCGATATTGACGTATCTAACAGCAGAGGTGCAAGAGAGCAATGTTGTTAACAATAAAATTTGCAACAATTTTTGTTATAAAAGTTTTCTTATAGCAAGTTCGGTTCCCAAATGTTACCTTTAATTACTTGAGAAAGCAATAAATTCATCAAATTTTCATATTTTCGTATCTATCTCGATATTGACGTATCTAACAGCAGAGGTGCAAGAGAGCAATGTTGTTAACAATAAAATTTGCAACAATTTTTGTTATAAAAGTTTTCTTATAGCAAGCTCCGATTCTCAAGTGTTACCTTTAATAACTTGAAAGAGCAACAAATTCATCAAATTTTATATTTTCGTATCTATCTCGATGTTGACGTATCTAAGAGCAAAACTGTAAGAGAGCAATATTGTTAACAATAAAATTTGCAACAATTTTTGTTATAAGAAATTTCCTATAGCATGCTTCGATTCCGAAATGTTACCTTTAATTACTTGAGAAAGCAATAAATTCATCAAATTTTCATATTTTCGTATATATCTGGATATTGACGTATCTAAGAGCAAAAGCAACAATATCTAATTGTTTTATCTCTAATTCTTCTATGAGTTTTCATTATTTCCTTGCAATTGGTATTGATATACTTTTTTCTTTTGTTGTTTTTTTTCTTTACGGCATTTCTTTCTGTTAGGTTGAGTCCGCCTATATGTTCGGGCTTTTTTCTTGTATCGAATGTGGTATATTATTTATATATTATATTACTTCACAAGATTGTAATTATAAAATTGTCCGAACAAAGTGACTATTATTATTAGTTCTAGTGATAGTGCTAGTATAAAACTTGAACTAACACTAGACCGAGAACTAGAAACATTCGGATTTAGCCGCAAGTCTCTCAAGACGGCTAAACCCGAATGATTCTAGTTCTAGGTCTAGTGTTAGTTCTGGTTTTAGACTAGCACTATCACTCGAACTAACACAATAGTACAAGTGTAAAACTAGAACTAACACTAGACCTAGAACTAGAAAGTATCGAGTTTGAAGACGCACGGCTAAACACGAATATTTATAGTTCTAGGTGTAGTGTTGCTTCTAGTTTTAGTTCAATAAAAATATACAACATGATATCTTATGTTAACTAGCACTACCTACCACTGTCACTAGAACTACCTTAGACCTAGAACTAGAAACATTCAGACATGTTGCATTTTATGTGAAACAAAGTAAGTAGGTACGTCCTGGTTTCTATGGAAATATATTTTTGTATATTGCATTTTAAGTGAAATTCACTGTATGTGTACATATATAAAAAAAATTTTATTGTATTGAGGTTATTATTATTTCTTAACGAGGTTAGGATGGAGATCGTTAACTGTCAATTGAAGTCAATTTAAATTTTAAATAGCTGAATGTTTAATGCGTTTAAAACAAATTTGTGAGTTGCATTTCGAGAAGAGGCACGGCGAGATCTTAAAAAAAATAGTAAGTGTAAAATAGAAAAATTTCCACAAACAAGGTTATCTTATCTTGACTCTCAAAATTTATTTTTATTTTCGGTAAAGGCGGAATGGGAGAAGGTGCTTAAACTGCATCTATGACCCAAATTTACAAGTTGCTTTCACTTAATACGATTTAACGTTTGAATCTCATTCCGTTCGTGTTCTTTGTTGGTTTTGGATTAAATAATTTTGGGGGAAATGTCCGGTTTGATTCGCCTTTTAAAGTCTGGATTAACAAATTATCCAATTATAACGAATGCGGGAATTTTTGGGACGATGTTCGTCGGAGCTGAGTGCATCAATCAAACGTTATCCAAAAAAATCTTGGTGAGATTAAATAAATAAAATTAATTAATTATTTTTTTTTTAATATTTGTTTTTAGTAGACTGAAAAACCAAAGAGTTACGATTTCGATTGTATACAAAGATGCGGGATTTACGGCACTTTAATTCAAGGGCCATTAATGACTGTTTGGTAAGTACTTCGTTAAATAAAGTGTTAATTGATTCAATTCGCACTTTTTTTATCAAATAAAAACAGGTATCGTTGGCTGGATAAAACGTACGCTTCAACTGCGCCAAAAATTGTCCTTAGAAAAATGTTAATGGATCAATTCTTGTTTACACCACTTTTATACGCAATTTTTTACACGTGTAAGTTTATTTAATTCAATTTTAATTTCTTTTAATAAATAATTAACACTTTTACTTGCAGCGATGTCTATTTTGGAATGTCAAGAAAATCTTTTCGAAGAATTAATCCATAAATTCCCGAAAACGTTCACAGTAAGCTGCCTCTTTTGGCTACCAGTTCAAGCATTAAACTTTTCTTTAGTCCCTCCACTTTATCGAGTCATTTATATGGGAATAGCATCATTCGCTTGGGTCACAATTCTATGCTACATTAAAAGTGAAACCGTCGAAAAAGCACCAATAAAATCATCTAATAATTAAGTAAAAAAAATAATAATAAAAATAAAGATTTTTTGTAATAATTCAATCTTTTTGCTTCGCTATTAACTGTGATAAGTATTAACTATGATAAACCGTGTAATTTATATATTATTTGTTTGTTCGTGATACAAAATGCGTATTAAGCAAAAAAAATTATACATTCTTAAAACAATTACGCTCTTTTTTTTTCTTTAATTCAAGGTCGTAACGTTTTCTGAAAATGCAAATATGCTAAAGAGGAAAATGTTTATCATTAAATTGATTAAATCATAATCTTCTTTTGTTCGTTTAAAAATAATTTATAAACAATAAAATCTAATTGAGACAAAGAAAAACTAATTATCTAAATCCTTTCCTATTAGAAAATAGAAATAGAAGGTTAAACGTACCTTTCAAAGTAGTTAAGTTATAAGCAAGACAGGTTGTGTTGTAACACTGGGTATATTTATTAAAACTGGAACGTATGCATTTTATTTTGAATCGGTGCGAAATCGAATCACGAACTGAAGAACTAAGTTAAATCGACCGATTTTATAATGTTTAGTAAGTTTCTTAATTTGGTTTAATTTTTTAAATTCGTTGCAAGTTTTAAAAAAGAAGTGTAACAAAAGTTTTTTTTATTAATTAGGTTTCTTAAGGATATGTTTGGAGTTTATATTAAGTGTCCATGGACTTTTCCAGGTAAGAATAATTATAAATTATTACTAAAAGATTAATTTATTAATAGAATTAAAGGAAAGGTTTGATTTTTTTATTAAGAAGTATGTAAAGTAGTTGAGCAATTCTTGATTATGCGAGAGTAAGTTTTTTATGTAACATGTTGTGGGAAATTTGTTTTTAGACAAATTCTAACTTAAAGAAAATTAAGATGAAAAATATTCTCTTAATTTAAATCTGAACGTTATAATATAAGTTTTTGGGATTCCTAGATATCTTTGAATATCCTTAGAAAACATCTAAAAGTGTTTTGGCAACATTTTGGAGTTATTGAAAACTTTCCGGATATTCAGACATCTTTAAGAGTTTCTGGACATCGGTGAAAACTTTTTGTAATCTCTAAGTATCTTGGAATACCTTTAGAAATGTTCTAAAAGTGTTTTGGAGATTTTGCAAAACCTTAGGAAGTATTCTGGATATCCCCAGACAACTTTAGGGATTTCTGGATATCGTTGGGGACTTTTTTGAATCACAAGATATCTTTGAATTTCTTCAGAAATCATCTAAACAAAAAGTTTTGAACTTTGTGCAAATCGTTTGGAGATTTTGAACATTTTCTCAAGTTTCCAAAACATTTTTATATAACATGTTGTGGGATATTTGTTTTTAGACAAATTCTAACTTAAAGAAAATTAAGATCAAAAAAGTTTTCTTAATTGAAATCAGAACGTTAATATTATAAGTTACTTACTAAGTTACTTACTAAGTTACTTACTAAGTTACTTACTAACACCTATAACGCTCATTACAGTCGAATTTCTACGACAAAATATTAAAAAGCGTATAGACGTTATCGTTTATCTATGCATACAAATTTCACCTCAAAGACAAACTTTTAGGAATTCACAGATATCTTTGAATATCATTAGAAAACTTTTAAAGTGTTTTAGAGATTTTGTAACATTTTTGGAGTTTTTGAAAACTTTCCGGATATTCCAAGACGTCTTTACGAGTTTCTGGACATCGCAGTGTTAGGAAGTTATGAATATCTGGCCAAAAATCTAATTGCAACTAAATGAAGTTGAAAATGTTTAATACCATTATAATATCTCCTTAATGCTTAGCTAGGATTTATTTCTACAATAAACAGTGCTTAAAACAAAATTTAGCGTTTTGAAACGAATATTTGAAAATAAAAGCGAAACAAAGGTTTTGTTGTGGGTTGGGTTGGATATTTAAGCTAATGTAACTCCGAAAACATGGTACATTTATTTCATGTACCCTAACAATAAGTAATATATACTTATATACTGTAATATATACAGAGTGTCTCACGTAACTAGTTCGTTAAAACTTTTTAAGGTTCCACTATTCATAATACTATTATGTAAATATTCAATTGTACATAAGAAAATATGTTGACTATTAAAAAACAATTAAAGACAATTAAAAGGTGTAATAAAAACTGTAGTATTCCATTTAAAATAACGAGGTTATGGTCTACTTCCGGTAGATCGGAAGTAGCAGCCATCTTGAAAATATTTTAGATCGAAAGTTCCGAATGAACAACCCATGCTACCAAAATTACAAAACTGTACAAATAGTGGACTCTAAAAAAGTTCTAACGAACCAATTACGTGAGACGCCCTGTATACACTGTGTACAGGGTGTCCAAATTTCGATGGGTTTGCAGGGTATCTCAGTTATTATGAAAGATAGAAAGTTGCGGCTTTCGCGAACCTGAGCTACTTTTTTGTGAAACTTACAATGGCGCAAACCAAATTTTCATAGCCCTTTTTGTTTTTGATATACAGGGAGTGTTTGAAATTTTCGATTTTCAGACACCTAAAAAAGTAAAAACGGGTTCTAATAGATTTTTTCACGTGGAATCCAATGGTGCACGTAGAATTTTTCTAGTCATCACGGTTTTTGAGTTATAAACACAACTCAAATACTAACTACTCAACTTCTAAAATACTTAACTCTTTATAACTCAAAAACCGTAATAACTAGAAAAATTCTACGTGCAGCATTGGATTCTACGTGAAAAAATCTATTAGAACCCGTTTTTACATTTCCGGATAGCCGAGATTCAGGAGGTGTCTGAAAATCGTAAATTTTGAAACACACCCTGTATATCAAAAACGAAGAGGGCTATGAAAATTTGGTTTGCGCCATTGTAAGTTTCACATAAAAGTAGCTCAGGTTCGCGAAAGCCGCAACTTTCTATCTTTCATAACAACTGAGATACCCTGCAAACCCATCGAAATTTGGACACCCTGTACATAAAGTATGAAATCAATTCGATAAAAATTTGAGGGATATTCTTCCCGAAAAAATTCTTGAATATCTATGTTATATTTTTTAACGCGCATAAGATCAGATACAATTGAAATACAGGTGTCCCAAAATTGAAATACCAAATGTTGACATTTTAAAATAAGAAACCCTATTTTTTGTTGCATTTATGGATTCTACCTAACTTCTGAGTATTTTTTATGTAGCTGTCTTCGAAAAAATAGCAGTTAAAAAATACTGTTATTATTTTATTTGCAATAATAAAATAAACTACGCTATTCTCTGTTTCTGCATTAATTTGTGACAAATGTGTAATAATATAATGATAACCATAAATTATGTATTAACCCATAAGCAAATTTAGTATTTTAACATACTGTTTTAAATTTTCTCTATACCTATATTTATCTTTCTTCGTCCTCACTGTGTTTTACAATTTCAATATTAGTTGCAATTCACGATAAAAAATTATTTCTTTCTTCATCATTTTCAAAGCAGAAAAGGCTTATAAGTTGTTCAGAAAAATCTGTATTATTCCTTGATTTCTTACTATGAAATGATGTTATAATTGGGTCTGAAGATATTAATAGTCTGTTTAAAATGTCTCTATTATTGTGTATTCTTGACATTTTTCTGGAAAAGTTCTCTCTATACCTTCTAAGGTCTTTATTCCGTGTTTCTTGCGCATCTTCTGAAAGCAGGCCAATCTGGATACTTAATGATTTTATTATTAAGTGGCCATGCACAAGAATTTTATGCACTGCCACAGGCATATAATACCAATTATATAATTGATTGTATAATAGAATTGTTACGCACGGTTAAACCCGAAAGTTTCTAGTTTTAGATCTAATAATAGAGTTAGTACTAATATTAATTCATAAAAAATAGTTATTCAGAAAAATTGCAAACGATTGATAGTTTCAAAACTAATTTTCAGTATTCACTGTCGAATATCCGTAGTCACCACCCTGTATATTAGCCATTTTATTGAAAATGCGAAATTTATTTGTTTAGGAACGGAAAGTATAGGCTTGAAACTACATAAAAAAACAAATTTCAACCTGGGATCTTGTGGGACTTTTTTTGTAGATTAAATTAAAGTTTAACATTGCAAATAAAATCTAAGCTATTACAGTGTTACATAAACAACACATACAGTATAAAATTATAGTGAAATTTCATAAGGGTACAACTTTTAATATGTTTACAATCGTTTTTCAATATTTATCAAATGTTTTTGGAAATTGATATGCAAAATAAGTGTTAACTTTACATGTAATTTTTATCCAGTGTTGAAGTTAATAAAAAGTGGTTATTGCGGAATAGCGAGTATTACGATATAACCTAACGATCCCTATTTGCCAAAATATTGAAAAAGAAAATAAGTTTGAAGATCTTGAAAAATGTTGTGAGAAATTTGTTTTTAGACAAATTCTAACTTAAAGAAAATTAAGATGAAAAAATTCTTTTAATTTAAATCAGAACGTTAATGTTATAAGTTACTTTATGCAAATCGATTAGAGATATTGAACATTTTCTGAAGTTTGCAAAAAGCTTTTATAGATATCGCTGAAAACCTCTAACACTCCAAAAAAAACTCTCAACATCAGAATTCTTCAAAGCAAATTCTACACTGTTAGAGTATAGGTATAACAAACATACCTGCTTTTTTTATTTTGGAAGACTCCATGTTGATTGCAAGATATAAATTATCTAGATTTTGCAAAATCTTTGGAGTTATTGAAAACTTTCCGGATATTCCAAGGTATTTTTAGGAGTTTCTGGACATTGGCGAAAACTTTTTGTACTCCCTAAATATCTTTGAAAATCTTTAGAAATCCTCTAAAAGTGTTTTGGAATTATTAAAAGTATTCTGGATAACCTAAGACAATTTTAGGGATTTCTAGATATCCTTGGAGACTTTTTGGAATCTCTAGAGATCGTTGAATTTCTTTAGTAACCACCTAAACAAATCTTGAACATTTTCTGACGTTTCCAAAACATTTTTTGGGCTTTCTAGAGATCACTGAAAACCTTTAGGAAACCTCTAACACCCCAGACAAAACTCTCAACATTAGAATTCGTCAAAACTAATTCTACACTGTTAAGGTATACCTATATAATAAGCATTTATTATAATTGCTGCCAGGCTGAAGGGAGTGGCCCCTCTCGTCACCGTGACCTATAAGAAGTATTGTAACTTTAGCCCTCCAAAAGCTTAGGGTAAATGTAGGTCCTTAATGAACCTTAGTCTTGTTCCTTTATGTCGGTAGGTGTCAAAAGAGCTTTAACGAAAATTTTGTGCCTTAAGCGGCCTCTGGCAACGTAAGTACACAGTATATGTTCAGCAGTTTCTAACTCGTCGTTGCAAAATCAACAAATTGCAAAATTTTATTGGCGCATGGCCTGTCAGGAAATGTGAGAGCGTCTTAACCCTTTCGTCCCGGATGGTACATATGTGTACCACAAATGTTTAGTATTCCGGGACGAAAGGGTTAAATCCCCTTTAGTGAGACATAAAACCTGTTTGGTTTTGTTTTGCAATGGAGTAATCATACTCTTCACTTGTCTATGACCTGGATGTTCTTTCCAGCGTAAGGCTACCTTCGAGGCCTCCCAATTGTTGATTACTTGTTTTATTTCCACAACCGGGTTGGCGCCCAATGAAGGGCATTTTCACTGCCTCTTTGGCCAGCTTGTCCGCTTTCTCATTACCCTCAATGTCCCTGTGATCTAGAACCCACCATAAAGTAACATCATTTCCCCTAGCGAATTTTTCTCTCAGGTTGCGGAGTCACACGTGTGGGCCTGAATTGCTTTTAGGGCGACCCGACTGTCTGTGGAAATGTTTATGGGTACACCTTTCTGTTCCTTTTGAAGGTTCAAAGCTGTGCAGAAGTTAATAGCAAGAACTTCTGCTTGAAAAATGGTTATGTCCGAGCTGAAGGGCAATTTAATGAGGCTAATACCCATGGCTACTCCGGATCCAATTGTCTTTGAAGCATCCGTGTAGCAAGCAAGGACTCCTCTTTTCAGCTGAGGCTCACCCTTAGTCCCATCATCCCTGCTTCTAAATATGACCTTATACGGCTGGTCGAAATTGTATTCTATCGGTATAACGTCCGTTTTAATTTCAATCAAGTGATTTAGACATGGGTCCTTGAGGATTTCGAGGTGTCCTCTGAAGTTATCCTGCATCAGCTTAGCTGAAAAGCATGTTTTCAGTAATAAGGCACTTAAAGCTGCCTCCTTTTGTATACATAAATGAATTGTTGTGCTATCTTATGATTTGTGTTTTGCCACCAAATCAGTGAGGCATGGGCGACCATGGGTCTGATTATTGCTACGTAGGTCCAATGAGCCATTAGTGGTTTGAGAAAAACCACGAATGGTCGATTCTGCTTTTTTTTTATTATGGCAGATTCCACGTTGATTGCAAGATCTAAATATTTTAACATTATTTTGGAGATTTTGAAAATCCTTTGAAGATCTTGAAAGTTTTCTGGAATTCCCAAAACATTTTTAGCATTTTGCAAAACCTTTTTAGTTATTTTTATTCATTACAATATTAATGAGAGCTCAACTTAGACTGCCTCCCCAGCAAATTCCTGTCAATATAGGTGCTTTTGCTGAGTTCAATGTTTGTTCTAACTCATATTGTTGTTCTGTTTTCAATTGTTCTAGACTTCTAATATAGTTAAGGATAATGACGTGTTCTTGTGGAATCGTATAATTGATATATCATTTTTTTGTAGAAAGTAGCCCGAAGAAAACCCTACATTTCAATCATCACCCGTTCAATACCCGGCGAAATCTTCTTAGCATTCTCAACTTTAACAATTTCAACAATACTGTGCACAATTTCTGGAATAATCTTATTTTTTCTCACCATATATCGTTACGTAATTGACAAATACTTGCGATTAAAACACAAAAATGATTACGTCGGCCTAATACATGGAACAGACGCCGTTTGGGCTATCGAAGATAACTCCAGAGGAATCATAAATGGTCTGATGATAATCGAAACCGATTATGAACCGGAAGAGTTTTTCGTCCGAATGAAAAAACGCGTTTGTAATTCTTTGTTGAAATCGAAAAAGTTTCGATATGTTCGAGGAAAATTCGGCGGTTATTTGTATTATTTAAGGAATCGAATGCGCGATGATGATGTTGTTGGGAAAATTGAAATAATTAAAAATGGGGAAGAATTAGATAAAGATGAGTTGATGATTTTGTTATCGAATTATTGTAATAAAAAATTGCCTTACGATGATTGTGGAACGAATGAGGTTCTAATCGGTTTACAATCGGTGAAATGGCGGGGAAATAAGAAATGTAAGTATCAATATCCGGTTTTATACCGATTACATCATTGTATCGGTGATGGGATTTCAATGCAACAATTGGTGATGAAAACTTTAACGGATGGAAATGTTACAACGGTAATTAGCGAAATTTTAAAGAAAGACGATGGTGGAAAGAAAAAGAAAGGTGATGGTTTATGGAAAATTTTTATGAAAATAGTTCGATTATCAGCACATCGATTAGCTTATTTAGAAGAAAAAGAAGTAAATTTTATTCATGGAAAAGAACTTTCCGGCGAAAAACATTTAGTTTGTTGCGTTGAAGATGAACCAGAACACTTAGAAATGATCAAAAACATTAAAAAGAATTTAGGAGAAGGTGGATTTTCGGAGGTTTGCGTTTCTGCCGTTGCAGCAAGTTTCTCTGATTATTTTCATCAGGTAAAAAATTATATTTTATCTAATTCCATTATGAAAATTAAATTTTACATGTCTTTCTAACGACACTTTTTTTATAACTAGTGATGTAATGAAATCATTACATCACTAGTGATGTAATGAATTCCATTACATAACTAGAAATTGATAAATTGACATCTGTCACTAATAGAATAAGTCAAGTTTTGAACAAAAATTGCTATTTCAATGGAATTAGATAAAATTTGCAAAAAAAAATTAGTCTTTTCATAACTGCTTACGTAAATATCTATTATTGTTTCAAAAACACAAAAGAATTATTTCGTTTCAGAATCAAAAGAAAGAAAATATACCCAAAATTATTTCCGCTGCGGTTACAGTGATACCACCAAACGAAAAAATCGATATAAATGATCCAAAAATTCCTACGCATAACCGGTTTTCTTTGACTTTAGTCGGATTACAACTTGAAAAGAAAGAATCGATTTTAGATGTTTTAAAATATACAAGAAATGAATTTAATTGTATCAAAAATGCGATTGATGTTGTTGTAAGTAATTTTGTGCTGTATAAAAATTGTGTTGAGAAAAATAATTTTTTAGTGGAATTATTGGCAAATGAAACACATTTTTGGTTTATTACCAACATCAACAGTAAAATCCCTAATGGATCGCGCTGATAGTAGCATTGGGTTTAGTATTTTACCCGGGACGAATTTAGTGACGATTTGTGATGGATTAAAAGTGTTGGATTTTATATTTTGGATACCGAACAAAGCTATAGTTGGTAAGATATTTAAAAAACACTTCTTTTTTGTTGAAATTTAATTTATGATGATCTTTGTCTTTTAGGATTAGGAATATCTCTTTATACTTATGACGATCGAATTCAGCTGGGTTTATTGGCGGATAAAACCGTCTTACCGAAATATGAAGACGCAAAAATGATTTTAAAAGGAATTTTTAGTAATATTGAGAATATGTATATCGCAAGTCTTGAGGAAAAAAAGAATGAAATGAAATAAAATTAGATTAGTTTATTAAGATAGTGTTTTAATGCAGACGTGGTTGCCAAAGTTATCCTAGTAAGAAAATGATCACTTAAAAGAGGATATTTTAGTAAAATCCATAATTCTGTCAACTGCATTCTACCATATTGTGCTCTAAAACTGGTATCATAATAGACTCTATAAGATTTACTTCTTTTGCAGAAGTAAAAAATTTTAAATTTAGACAAAGTTATCGAAACTAGATGTTTCCCAAACCAAGTACATAATTAGTTGTGAAAATATACTAGTTTTATTCAATCAGCTAAATTTTCTGCATTTTTGTATACATTTTCTTTAAAATTAAGATTTCTTGTCATAATTCAAAGGTACGCATACGTGATAAAACATTAGCCGGCCATACACAGACGTTCTTTCCTTTCAAAATCGTTGCGTGTTCAGATGTGGCATTATGTTTCATACATTTGGCAAAGCTTGAGCTTTATCTCACTAAACAAAATTTTATTGCTTACAGCTGTTTCCTTCACAACAAAAACCAGTGTTTCACTCTCACATTCTAACGCTGTCATAAAATGTACATGCTCTAACACCTGATTCAGTGTGAACTCAGTTGCTTTGATGCAAGGGCTTCTCTGTGAATAATGCAATGGGTTCCATAGATATCACCCAAATTTGTTGTGCGCATAGGCTATCTCCGAAACTAAAAGAATTATTATTTAATGTGCATAATTAGGGTTCAAAAAAAAACCGACATTCCTTCATGCTATAATTAGGGTTTCAAAACAAAACTGACCTATCCCAACATTCTTTCAAGCTATTATCTACAGGAATCCCAGCAGAACAACAGAGGAGCTTATTTGTACAGTTCCCAGAACCTCCAAGGATATATGGATTACCCAAAATCCATAAACTAGATGTCCCACTATGCCCTATTGTCAGTGTCATAAATTCTCCCACCTATCAACTAGCAAAACACCTTGCCAAATCTCTTTTAAAATCTCTTTTTACAGGTAAAACAGAATCATATGTCAGAGATTCTACACATTTTGTAGAAATAGAAATTGCAAAACAGTTACCATTCCTGGATGTGTTGGTCACTAAGAAGACAGATGGGGGTCACATGGAACTGGGAGTAGATCGAAAGAAGACGCATAGGAATAGATACCTACAGACTTCATCCCATCACCACCCCCAACAGAAGAGGTCCGTGAATCAAACCTTATTCCAGCGAGCAGAAAGGATATGTGATAATGAAAACCTAAAGAAAGAAGAGAGTTTCCTAGAAGATGTACTATAGAAGAACGGCTATACAATGAGGGATATCCAACGAATCACCACACCACGTAAACAGAGGGAAGTTCTATACCAGCCGGTTTTATCTGCCTTCCTTATGTTTCAAGTATGACGAAGGGAATTGCGACGTGTCTGAAGAAGAATGATATCGTTGTACGATACGGTATGGTAAACAAAATACAATCGCTCTTCCGATAGCCAAAGGCAAACTAACCCCATTAAAGAGACTCTATCGGCTATCGTGCAGTTGTTGGAAGTATTACGTTGGGCAAACTGGACGTAACATCCGCCGCATCGAGCAACACAAGAGGGACGTCCGACTGAATAAAATCCAACAATCTGCAGTCGCGGAGCATTGCCAGAAAGGAGGACACATCATGGAATTCAACAAAACTAAAGTGTTAGCAAGAACCGGACATTACTTCCAAAGAGTGGCGAGAGAGGCGATAGGGAAGACTCAATGAAACCTTCTCCACCCAGATGTGACAAAAACAACTTACTTGACAATTATACTCTAATTAATTATTAATTACCTTTTTACGTATTTACTGTCAATAAATTCATTTTTACCGATTTTGTCACTTCGAACTTGTTTCTGAAGAAGGTTAACATGGCATCCGAAACGTCAATCACTTTTTCAAAAGACGCACGGCTTAACCCGAAAGTTTTTAGGTCTAGTGTTAGTTCACACTATAATTGGTGTTCAAAAGGTTCAAAGGTTTGACGTTTCAGATGTCATGTTGCAACCTTCTTCAGAAACTGGTTCGAAGTGACACGACTAGAAGTTTTTTGCTAATTTTGATACAAGGAATAACCCTACGAAATTATGCATCTCAACGGGGAGACAGCCTGTATACTCTTTATATAATATTAAATACTCTACAAGTGTTTACGTAATGGTATTTCTTCTACTCTTCTTGGAGATGATATTTTTACCGAATTTTTAATTCATTCCAATTCGTCACAGAGGTTCTCGATGGGATTTAGATCTGGGCTCTGGGCAAGCCAGTACATTCGAGTAACCACATTCGACAGTGTATCTCGAAGCATGATAGTTAGTATTATCGTCTTGAAAGTAACATATAGTAACATATGCCATAACGTACGAAGCACCACCGAACTTTATTGTTGACACAATATATTCAGATAGGAGAAGTTCTCCAGACCCAATTCCTACCATTCGAATGGTAGAGGATGAACCTTAATTCTTCACTTCAGAGAACTTATTTCCACTGATCTACGGTCCACTATCGACGTGTTTTACAAAACATTAACCGAACAGCTCGGTTAGACTTATGTTAGTGATCAGTTAGTCTTTAAACGCACGGCTAAACCCGAATGTTTCTAGATCTAGGTCTAGTGTATTCGATAAAATCAGGAACAAAATGTTGCCCACTGCTTCTTTGGTGTGGACATACCTTTATTCAGTGCTAGGTTGTTGTATATTTTTCATTGAAATAAAATCGATATAATGGACTAATACGAGAAAGGGAGTTTCCGTTACAACTGGAAGGCTCGTTCATGACGTCACGCATAGATTAGCAACTACTATTTCATATGTTAAAATTATTATATAAATCCATTTTCATCGATATTATTAAGGTAAATTGAATAAATATTACTTTCTATTTTACTGTTAATCGATGTATTAATTTAAATATTTCCTTTACATGTTTCGGCTTATTAGGCCATCATCAGAAGGTTTCTAACAAAATAACAAATTTCAAATTAAAGAAATCAAATTTTGAAGGTTATGTTAGGATATGTTAGGTTTTTTTTGTAAATACTAAACTTATATATTACTTACAACGTTAATATGGTTGGAGAGGAATTGTTGATGATGGCCTAATAAGCCGAAACATGTAAAGGAAATATTTAAATTAATACATCGATTAACAGTAAAATAGAAAGTAATATTTATTCAATTTACTATTTCATACTTTGCAAATACTTAATTTTTCCGAAACGTTCTAGTTCTAGTGTTTGTTGGGTTGGGTTGCATCATCGGAAGAAGAAGAAAGCAGAATTGATTGAAGCAATTAAAATTTTAGAAAAAATAAAGATAACAAAAGTATGGTACCGTAAACGCGCCCCCTACGTGTTATATTGGACCCCATAAATTATTTCTTTGTTTTCTTTTAGTTATCATATTTGTCACGTAAAAATATTCCTGGACACCAAATTTCGGCATTCTAAACCCTGTCGTTTTTGAGATCCATCTTTACATGGCTTTAGCGCCCGTAGGAAGCATTTTCGGACCGGTCTTTGTATAAAGCGTTCCTCATGATTTTTGATGTAGAATTACCTCTTTCAATGTATAAACGCAATTTCCGGACAGCCTGTATGTAGCGTAAACAAGAATTTTGCACTCTCTGAACCCTAACCACAACAACACTGTCGAAACATGCATTATATCAGATAAGTAAATTGCGATAGAACAAGTGACTCACATAACAGCCTTTTCAAGTGGAAAAGTAACACAGTTCTGAAGGGAAATAGATTTCGCAATTGTAAGTATAAACTAGAAACGTAAATGGTATCGGGACTCCTCCAATCTCTAGCCGTACATATTCCTCGAATGTCTCGCATCTACCCCCAAACAGCATCACCACTGATTTGCCAGCATTGGGTGCATGCCTCGATGCAAAATTGTTAACACTATTCAAACCATTCTGCAACCTAGAGAGAGCGTCTTCATAATTCCAGGGTTCAAACGATATATACAGTTGTAAATCATCTGCATACATATGATAATCTGCATGCCTCAACTGACATGAAAGTTGGAAAGTATATAACGAAAATAGTAGTGGGCCCAAGATACTACCCTGTGGGAACCCTCTATTAATTGGTCCAGGTTCCGATAGGCAACTATCAATCTTCACATCTTGTGATCTATCAGTAAGATAACTTCGAAGTAGCTGTCGCAGCTCACTCCCAATTCCCGTGTACTGCAATGCCGAACACAACACATCACGATCAACAGTCTCGAACGCTCTACTAAAATTCAACCATACTACAACTTAATTTAGTCCTAAATCCTGGGCCTTTAGAAGATCACCGGTCACTGACTGTCACGGACTGACATTCTGGCAGTATGTGATTTACTTGGACGTATTCATATAGTTGCTTAAAGATAATTTTTTTAAAAACTTTAGACAAAATGGGCAATAAGTGAATTGGTCTAAAGTCCTTCGCCTCTACAGGGTTTGATATGTTAGGGAGAGCCTTGATTAAAGACGTCTTCCAGCTCTTAGGGAAAACAGAATGTTCAATATAAACATTAACTAAATGAACAATGTACGGCAATATGTGAGGCAAACACAACCCCATCATGGACAGATCAATGCCATCACAACCAGCTACTTTGGATGATATATAGTGTACTGCATTTAGCACATCAATGTCACTAATTAATTTTAAGTTAACATTACTATTGGAGAATAATCCGCGTGGTAAAGCATCATATGAGAAAGGCGGACTAGAGTAAAGAACAGGGATCGAGTTCAAATGATCGTCTAATGTATTGGGATCCCTTAAGTGTTCAGATATAATTAAGTGTGATGCAAAGTGGATGCGACCGAAAATTTTTATTTATGATTAAATGGTGTTAGTTTTTAATATTGTTACATCATCATGTTATGTTATATCACAATTGATGAATAAACATTATTTGTCCTAGATATAAAAGTGCGTTAAACATTAATCAATTTGAAACCCCGATCACCTCGAAATCAGTTTTTCAATATACAGGGTGTCCCGTTAAGGGAAAGGAGCGGCTGTATCTCAACAACGGTAAGACCTGTAGGTGTGGGAAAAAAATCCTTATAAGCAAAGTGGGCAAGAGAAATAGCTGGAAATTATTTTGAAGTTCCTAATTCGGCCGCTAGGGGGCGTAACTGCCATAGAGAAACATAAAATTCCCGCTATCTCAGAAAGTTAGACGATGAGCTATAACTTTGACAACATCATTTAGTAGCTTGGATAATACTACATCGCTTTTGTTTAGCAATATTTCTCATATCCGTCATAATAAGGGAGGGGGAGGCCAATGCGTTTTCAAATGTTTACATTTTAATATCTCCTGGACCATTCAACCGATTTGAATATTTTTCGTCTTGTTTGAAAGAGCATTTTATGCTCTTTTTAAAGATATTTTCAGTAAGACCGCTTGGTTTAAAACAAATAAGCTAGAGGGCGTTATCTGCAGCGGTTACATATTTTTGTAATTTTTGAAAGAAAGTTAAATGGAACGGTACTATTTACTTCACAGACCCTTAATCACCATAAAATTTGCTAAATATTAGTGAAAACCGCATCTCGATATCTCCATCCATTCTCGAATTATAGAAGAAAATGTTAAAAATTCGTATATCTTAAACGGATCAAGTTACCTTACGAAACAAATAAGAGAGCACAAAAATGTTATTATCCAAGCTTAGAAGTGCTTCAAAACTACTTTTGAGGCGTGTTTAAAACCCAACGATCAATGAAAAATCAACAATGATAATAAAACAAAACACTTAGAATAACTTACATTTTTGGCAAAAATAGCTCACTAATGTTCGAAATGCCTTCTATGAACCTCGATGCATTTATTTAATCTAGTTTCGACGAAAAAAAAACACTGTTTAGGTCTCGGCCCTGGACACGTTTCTACTGCATTTAGTGTTTTGTCCTATTTTCCCTGGTTATTGGTTTTTCTTGAAAAGTCAGGTCGTTTAGTCTAGCCAATAATAAAATAATTTGGATAAAGGGGTGAAAGCAATGTGGGTTTTGCTCGAACCAAGAATGCATATTATGCAAGTTTACACCAGCTTGTGGAGAGATGCTTCATGCATCCATAACATTTGTGATAAAAGGTTTGGATTTGCCCAAATCATATTTAAAAGTCAACGATAATAATAGGTCAGTCTGTTATCATAATCGATATATGTTAAGGCCTGATGTAAAACAATGTGGTGGAGATATTATTCTCTTGAGGAATCTTGTGGACAATTGTTTTCGGTGTTCCCAGATTATGTGGGATCGCATTGCGCACCAATGTGATTTACGAATTCATAGAGATGTCTGAATGGGCTACATGTTGCCAGTTTTCCGCAATCGTTAAGTCAATCTTAAAAACACTTCTAGAGAAAGATGTCGTTCTTTGTCGTAATTGCATTGCACATTTTTGCCATGCAGTTGGATCGTATTCGAAACATTGAAAATAAATCATCATACGCTCTATCATACGCTTCTGCGTTAGTAAATGACATGTTTACAGTTACCATGGTTATGTGATTTGTTTTTCTCGATGAGGTAACTGGATCCTATTGATGGCACTCGAGTTTTTAACATTTTCTTCTATAATTTGAGAACGGGTGGCGATATCAAGATGCGGTTTTCACTAACATTTAGCAAATTTTATGGTGATTAAGGGTCTGTGAAGTAAATAGTACCGTTCCAATTAACTTTCTTTGCCCTCTAGCTTATTTGTTTTAAACCAAGCGGTCTTACTGAAAACATCTTTTAAAAGAGCATGAAATGCTCTTTCAAACAAGACCAAAAATATTCAAATCGGTTGAATGGTCCAGGAGATATTAAAATGTAAACATTTGAAAAGGCATTGGCCTCCCCCTCCCTTATTATGACAGATATGAGAAATATCACAAAACAGAAGCGATGCGATATTATCCAAGCTATTAAATGATGTTGTCAAAATTATAACTCATTTTCTAAGTTTCTGAGAAAGCGAGAATTTTATGTTTCTCAATGGCAGTTACGCCCCCTAACGGTCGAATTACGAACTTCAAAATCATTTTCAGCTATTTCTCGTGCCCACTTTGCCTATAAGGATTTTTTTCCCAAACCTCAAGGCTTTACCGTTGTCGAGATACAGCCGCTCCGTACCCTTAACGGGACACCCTGTATTAATCACACATAATGGTTAAAAATAAAACTATTAAAACTTCAATGAAAAACATAAATAAGCTATTTTCGGTGTTTTGAAGTTTTTCATTGTTAATTATTTGTATAACATTTCTTTCTTTTTAACATTCTTTTTATAAATAAAAATTTTTCAACCTAATTCAACAAATATTATTTTTCCAAACGTAATTGAAATAAAATCTAATAAAAAACATTTTTAATTTCATAAACGATACTTAATGAGTAATAACCGACTTCGCTTAGCAAATTCTTTTGTATAATTTGCAAATTTAAATTTTTTCCTTGCCTAAGCTAAATTTTACTTACAATAAGTTTTAGTAGAGTAACCAAAAAGACAATGATTAGCACCATAATCCAAGACATTTTAATCGAATTCAGTGAGTACCAAGTAAACATTAATTAATTCTAGTTAGTTCGAGTTACAATTACGATTAAAAATCATTTTTTAGAGTTTTTTCTACGATTACCACATTTTTTTTGGATTTTATACGTTATTGTTGAAGTAAGTATAATTTTAATCATTAAATTAAAAATAAATAATTACTTGTTTATAGCATGGTTTTAAAAAAAGCAATTTCCTCCAAAAAAGCAATTCATTAATACCAAAAAATATCTTAATATCCCTTTTAACATTAATTTTATTTATTTTATCGACAACATGTTTAACCCCACTATTTTTTTTCAAAATTTTCGTGGTGATTTTTTTGCGAATTTGGCACCGAAACAATTTTGGGGGTTGTTTTCGCTCGGCGGATAATTTATGGGTTGTCGAAGACCAAGAAGCCTTAAACATAATCAATTTATTATTTATAATCAAATTTAAAAGCGCCACCAAAGATTTAAAAACGTTCGTTAATGATTTAGTCGAAAAACGATTCTTTAAAACAAAAAAATTAACCAGCACCAGAGAATATTTCCTTGGATATGGTTATTTTTTATTAAACCAACTCAAAATAGACGACGTAACAACATATTTATCGTTTAAGAGCGATTGTTTGAATGAAAACGATTTGAGAAAGTTTGTTATGAAATTTTCTAATCGAAATTTACCCAAAAATGGAGCTTTTGAGATAATCGCTTGTGAAGATCGGGTTGTTTTGAATCAAAATGATCAGAATGAAAATTTTGCTTTGTTATTGAGGGTACATCATTCTGTTGCTGATGGAATGACGTTGATGAGTTTTATAAATAAAGAAATTGCTGATAAAAAGTTTGATGAGATTGAGGAAAATAGAGGGAGAAATTTATTTTCGTTAAAACAACATTTTAATTCTAAAGCTTATTTGCATACGTTAATCGCAAAAAGGGATCAAAATGATTTGAAAAAAGCGAAACTTTCGGGTCGTAAACGAATCGCGTTTAAAATTGAAAAAAGCGGTGATTTATTGCTCAAAAAAGTCAAAATTATTAAAAATTCGATTCCAAATTGCACATTTACCGCCGTTTTATTGACTTCAATTTCAATTAGTTTGTACGATTTTTTCGTAAGAAGTAAAAAAAATATTCCCGATAATTTAATTTTAACTTTTATGAACATCGCCGATAAAAATCAGTTACATTTTAACCACAAACAATTAAGAAACATCTTTTCCATGGGAAGCATTCATTTACCAATTAATCTCAAAAATTATAATAATCAAATTAAAGAAGACGTCCTTTTGATTCGATTAAGAGAAGTTATCGAGGAATGTAAAAGATCTGAAGAATCCTCTGATATTTGGGTAAGAAAAAAACATTAATTTTAATTCTATTTCGATAAAGATTAATTTTTAGATACATTATTGGCAATTAAAATCGTTTAGTAATTTATTACCTAAACCTTTAGTTAAATTCATTTTAAATCTAAACGATGTGACTTCGGTGAGTTTCTCCAATTTACCAGGAATAAAAAAGATCGAAATCTTTGGGAACGAATTGAGTCATATGATGTTTTGGGTCCCGAATTATGTAACAATAGGTGAGCAACAAAAAACAATCTATTTTAAGAAATATATTAAAAATGCTCGATCGATAAGATAATTTAATTAAGATAAGCAAAAAATTTAAATTTTTTTTTGTTTCCAGGTGCAGGATTTTCGTTGTCCACCTACGACGATCGATTTCAAATGGGTTTTTTAGTCGATGAGTGTCTAATTTCAAACGATGAGGATGTCCAAGACGTTTTAAATGGAGTTTTTGAAAATTTGGAACGATTGTATGAAGTTGCAAGGAAATTTTAAGTGTTTATTATTATTAATAATTTTTTCTGTTCTTATCTTTGATTGATGTTAAAATAATAATCCTACAAAAAAAAAATAGAAGAAACAAATATTACTTATAGATAATCCATTATATTCAACGTTTGTGTGATAACCTCACTCACTTTTATTATTGTTGCATATCAAACATTACACATTTAGCTTTGGCACATATTTACTTATCACACAATAAACGTTACAACTCGATCTTTGCACTCTTGCACGTCCTTGCCAAATTAATTTTTCGGCAATCGCTTATTCCGCATTCTCAAATCGCATTAACAACATCAAGGTAATCAAATAATTCATATAATTATAATCCAACAAAAGATTAAGGGCAGGTTTCTCTTTTTTGCTATTTTAACTTTATTATTTATGTTTGAATCATTCAGGAAAAAAGTTTCAAATACGTGATTAACTACACATACAAGTTCGATAAGACCGTATATTTATACCTAAAGGTAAATATCAAGTTCGATATAAATAAATTTAAGTTTAGTTAATGAGTTAATGTTGGATTAGTCGGAACAAAATGGATTGTTTATCAAGTTTCCTGCAAATTTACGGAAGTGTTTCATCAACGATTAAGGTAAGTTAAGTTTTATTGTTTAGTAAGCACTTAAAAATTATCGTGATTAATTGGGTTAGTTGGTTAGATTGAATAAAAATGATAAGAATATTTGTGATTGAAGAGATGTGAAGGTCAAGTTCAATGTTGTGTTTAAAAAGTATTAAAAATGTTCATCCCACCAATATAATTATTAACATTTATGGCTTAAATTCTGTCATGATAAGTTACAGCACACGATTTCTGATGACAATGCAGTATTGATATCTAGTGATTATTATGAATTATTATAAAAACGTCACAATTAATTTATTGATGATTCACTAAAAATTTGATAAATACCAAGATGTACTTCTTTGGCATACGTCATCCTTCCAAAAATTAGAAAATTACTAATTTCAAATCTAAATGTTATCTTTGCAATGCATCACTTTTCCAAGATTTACGACGTTCTCTTGATCAATATGTCTAAACACGGTTTAACTTGAGATAGAAAATGTGTTTAACAAATACATTTATTATATAACATATATTGCAGCACCTCAATCATAAGTAAGCCCAGTTTAACTTAAGATGGAGCTTAAAATAAGATTTGAGAGTAGGGCTCAGATTAGATCTTATAGTCTTATCATAACAGAAGTTGCTATGTTACTAGTATATAGCAGATACAGGATAGGATTTTCTTTCGTTCCAAATCCCATTCAATGATATCAGTTATTATCAGTCACATATTAGAGATTACTGATCTCCTACTCTTCATGGTTGCCTTCCAAAAGCTAAAAAAAAATACTCCAAAAATACTGTTGTTACAAGAGTAGCTCTCGCTACCCTTTTTATTATCCTTTTTATACTCACGAAGAGTAGGGCAATATTTATTGTTTCCTACAGTATGCCTACTCAAAACAGATATTCAGAAAAGCTCTTGAAAAAGTCAATTAAGGAACATCTATAAATGAGATAAGACTGAATAACATCCGAGACATAAGGAATGAATAACGTAAAAGAAAGCGAGAGCCATATTTGCCAAATTGTTGATTTGTCTCAAAAGTCTTTGCGGATCACGTCTTTTTGACAATCATATGATATTCAGCGTTGTTATCATCCATAATCTCTGAACAACTAATTTATGATATGATAGGTAACCAATTTTACAGAAAAATTGCATATATTGTTTTCAGACGTAAAAATTGATATCATATCAAATAAAACCGAGGTCGCTTGCGATCGAGGCACTACATTGATACCATGCCGTATACAGAACTAACCACTTTACAACAGTGTCAACAGTAATAAAGCCGAGGTCGATTGCGGCCGAGGCATAACATTCATACCACATCGCACAGAGAAGCCAACCGTTTGTTAACGATATTAGGAGTAATAAAGCCGAGGTCGCTTGCAGCCGAGGCGCTGCATTGATATCATATTGACTACAAAGCTAGCCAGTTTTCAACGATATTAAGAGTAATAATGTCGAGGTCGCTCACGACCGAGGTACCACATTGATCGTTGAAAACCGATTAGTTTTTGATATGGTATGAATTTAGTGCCTCTGCCGCAAATGACCTCAGCTTACTCACTCTTGATATCGTTACAAATCGATGAATTGTTGCATCGATAAGCTATATAGATATTACCTTTAATATCGTTGCAAATAGAGCCTCGGCCGCAAGCGACCTCGGCTTAATTACTTTTAATATCGTTATTACTAACCCCTTTGTTAGTTGTTGTGTCGATATGGTATTGATGTAGCGCCTCGCCCGCAAGCGTCCAGAACTTACTCACTCTTGATATCGTTATAAACCGGTGAGTTTTTGTATCAATATGGTATAGATAATATATAGAGCCTCGGCCGTAAGCGACCTCGGCTTAATTACTTTTAATATTGTTATTACTAACCCCTTTGTTAGTTGTTATGTCGATATGGTATTGATGTAGCGCCTCGCCTGCAAGCGTCCTCAGCTTACTCACTCTTGATATCGTTATAAACCGGTGAGTTTTTGTATCAATATGGTATAGATAATATATAGAGCCTCGGCAGCAAGCGACCTCGGCTTAATTACTTTTAATATCGTTGTAAAGAGGTTAGTTGTTATATGTTGATACATTGATGTAGCGTCTCGGCCGCAAGCGACCTCGGCTTACTCACTCTTGATATCGTTATAAACCGGTGAAATTTTGTATCGATATGGTATAGATATAAAGCCTCTTCCGCAAGCAACCTCGGCTTAATTAGGGGAGACCGAGACACATTCGGACACTTTTGGTCTACTACCTTTTAGTAATACAACAAAGTATGCTCTATTACACATGTTACAAAACGTTAAGAGTTTAAATATAGGCCATATTTTTCCACTCAGTAATATTTATAAAAAAAATGCACTTTCGGATGCACGAGGCACATTCGGACAGTGACCAAAATTATAATACAAAAAGAATCGGGCTACAACTACAATGAATTCAAACTTTTTATTCAATGACGTAATACATATCTAAGTTCATTGGAAACTTAATTATTGCATTTAGTCTTGTAGTACTTGACTTGATAGGTTGTGGCAGTTTCAAAATGACATCAGACCTAGGGACCACTGACACGTCTAAGATATTCGGGAAAACAAAACCTGTATTGCCCTTTTTTTTCTCAAAAAGCTGACCTCGTATTCATCAGATCGATCATCAACAGCTAGGACTTTGCCAATGTAATATTTGATGCTTTTTTTTATAAGAAACTTAATTAAAATGTAATTATCGATCTCAATTATTGTTTCAAACTCTAGTAAGCCTGGCGCATCAGTTTCTTCATCTTCTAGGTGCATGTTGCCTAGATGTGATGAATCAGACGACTATTTGCCTTTTTTTGTTTTTGGAACCTCGATATCTGAATCAGATGAAGATGTCTCATCTTGAATTTTCTTTTACCCGTTTCTTTTCTTTACTTACTTTCTTTTCAGTGTTTAATTTTGACACCACCTTTTTTCGTGATTTCTTACTTTTTATTGGGAAGACTTGTCTTGTAGCATTTTTCCCTTGATTTAAATGACCCATAGATCCCGACATCTAGGGGCTCCATTTGGTGGGTGCAGTGCGGCGGAAATGAAAGTAGTTTAATACTGTTTTCTCTACAATATAAAATAGCTGCAAGGCTAATGTGCGTCTCGTGGTTATCAACTATGAGTAATATGGGATCCCCTGCAGTTCTTATGCTTCTTGATATGTTCAAACACCTTTACAAAAATTTCAGCAGTCATCCACCTAGTCTTTGATCTAAAACACACGGAGCCTGGTACTGAACCATACAGATATTCATCTTTTATTCTTATCCTGGGAAAGATGTAAATAGGAGGCAAGGAAACTCCAGAAGCCGCTACAATTCTGCAGAATGTTACTAATGTACCACGCTCTCCAGAAACCACTTGCCCAACCTGCTTCTTCCCGCTTTGTGCAATTACTTTAGGGGCCTGTAGAACAGTTGTTATTCCTGTTTTGTCACAGTTCAGAATCCGGCCTGGTGTGAAGTTGTATTTCTCCATTAGTTTTCGGTGGGATGAATCTTGGTTTCTTTTCATAAAAGCAGCTATCCAGTCTTCGCCTACCATTTTGTAGAAGCTTAAGCAGTAAAGTGGAAAATATTTACCTCTTGGCACAAAAGACTATAATTTTAATTTGTAGAAAGATTTGTTGAAATACCGGCACCATCATTTCACAGCAGCCATTAACACAACTGAGACGATGTTTGTCCGACCGTGCACACTATTGCAACTATTTTAGGCGGTGAATTTGCCCTGCCCGAATATGTCCTGTGTCGAATGTGCAAAGATCTCCCCTACTCTAATATCGTTGCAAAGGGATTAGTTGTTGTATTGATAAAGGTATAGAAATAGAGCCTCGTCCGCAGGCAACCTCGGCTTAATTACTTTTAATATCGTTTTAAAGAAATTAGTTGTTGTGCCGATATGGTATTGATGTAGCGCCTCGACCGCAAGCGACCTCGGCTTACTCACTCTTGATATCATTATAAACCGGTGAATTTTTGTATCAATATGTTATAGATATAGCCCCTCGGCCGCAAGAACCTCGGCTTAATTACTCTAATATCGTTGTAAAGGGATTAGTTGTTGAATCGATAAGGTATAGAAATAGAACCTCGGTCGCAAGCGACCTCGGCTTAATTACTTTTAATATCGTTTTAAAGGGGTTAGTTATTGTGTCGATATGATATTGATGTAGCGCCTCGGCCGCAAGCGACCTCAGCTTACTCGAAACAACGCGGTTTTTGCCGAGGTTTGTTAAAGGAACCTAACCTTACCTCTCATTACTATTACATTTATTAAATTTGATCTTACTTAACATCAATACTCACAACTCTAAATTCGTTCTGAATTCACACAACAATAATCCGTATTATGGACGGATATTAAAGACGTTTTATGTTATTTTTATTTATTTATTTTAGTTTAGTTTATTTATTTTCAGCATGGTTTAAGAAAAATCCCTCCAATAAATTTCATTTGTAAAAACCCAATTTTAAACCTTTTTATAACAACATTATGTTGGTTAATATCAATAATACCCTTAATAACCCTAACAATAATCCTAACACTTTTATTTTTCTATAAATCCTTCGTTAAATTAATCCTAAAACTTCGTCACGGCGAAAATTTCGGTGGAATTCTCCTTTCAGCGGATACTTTATGGATAACGGAAGACGAAACAGCCCGAAATATAATAAACGTCGTTATGGTAGTCCAACTGGATACCTCCAAAAAAGATTTAATCGAATTTATGCAAGATATATGCAGAAATCATCTACTCAAAACAAAACGGTTATCTAGTATACGAAAATTTTTTATGGGTTACGGTTACTTTTTAGCCAATCAAGTTTTAGTTGAAGATATTCTTTCAGTTTGTGTCGATTTCGGTGACGCAAAAACGATTAATGAAGAAAATTTAAAAGAATTCGTTTCAAAATATTCAAACATGGCGCTTCCGAAAGATGATAAAGCTGCTTTTGAAATAATAATTTGCGAGAAAAGAGTCGTTTTTACTAATACTAATGAATTAGATAAAGAGCAATACGCAGTCTTATTAAGATTTCATCATTCCGTAGCTGATGGTGTATCATTAATGAGTTTGCTAAGCGGAATCGTCGATGATAAAGAACATTATCGGATAACTTCCGAAAACTTAAATAAACTCGATAACAATGAAATAAAAAGGATAAAAAATCTTCTTTTTAAACGCGATTTAAAGCGATTTTATAACTGCGAGTCGTATGTAAATACTTTATTCGCATTTAAAGATAAAAATCCTTTAAGGGTAAATAAATTAACAAAGGAAAAACACGTCTCTTTCAAAATCGGGGATAATTCGATGATTGAAAAAATAAAAACGATACGAAGAGCGTTTAATTGTTCGTTTAGTTGCGTTTTATACGCAGCTGTTTCACAAAGTTTATGTGATTTCTTTAAAAGAAATAATTTAAATAATGAATCAAATAAGAATATTAATGATTTAACACTGACTTTTATGGTGATTCCTGATCGAGTTCAATTACATTATAATCATAGTGAATTAAAGAATTTAACTTCAATAGGCAATATAAAATTATCATCAAAACATAATTTAACTTTAAGGGATCGTCTAGAAGAAATCATTAAAGAAAATGAAAAATATTTAGAATCTTGTGATCCTTGGGTAAGTTTTAAAACTAAAATAATTTTTCCAATTAAACTTTTTTCCAATTAAAATTCTTTTCCAGATTTATTTATGGCAATTAAAAACGTTTTGTAACTTATTACCAAGCCCTTTAGTAAGAAGTTTAGCTAAATTTAGTGCGGTTACATCAATTGGATTTACAAATATGCCAGGAACTAAACAAGTACAATTAAATGGGCAAGATGTTAGTTATTTACTATTTTGGGTACCCAATTTTATTACAACCGGAGCAAGTTTTTCATTTTTCACTTATAATGATGTGTTCCAAGTGGGCTTTTTGGTAGATAAAACATTAATTCCTAAAGGAAATGATGTAGAAATGATTTTAGAGGATATCTTCAGTTATATAAATGAGATGTATCACTCTTTTTGCAATCAGAAATAAATTTTATATGTTTCTATTTAATCTTCGTTCTTTTAAATTGATTTAAGTTACGTTTTTAATTAATTTTAAAAAGCTTACCAAGAAGAATATGAACCTAAAACCGAAAAAAATAAGTTATAAATCAATTTTTATTAATATACAGAAAATTTTCTAACCTGAAATTCCTTTTTCCGTTTTGTATAAAGTATCTGACCTGTAACAATAAAAAAATATTTAATATTATTTCGTAACGTTTATTAATACATGTTTTAAACAAGTTTTTTTATAAAATTACAAATAAATTTATTATTATAACTAAACTTAACCTCAATCAACAGGATCACGAAAAAAATGGTGGCAGTTGCAAGTTTAACTAAAATTAGTTAGGTTTCTTCTAATCACTCAAAAAAGTTGTAAAAACACAAATCTGTAGGATTTTTTCTTATATTTGCTTTTCCGGGTGTGAAATCGGAAAATTTTCAATAATCGCACGTTTAAATCGAAATTATAAACAATGATGAATTAAGGTTGGTACTAATTAATACCAACCTATGACTATTAACAACAAAATAAAAACATCCTTATTTTAATGAATTATTTTTTTTATTATTTGTTTTATTCAAATTCTTTTCCAAAAATTTATTGATAAGTCCATATAAAGTAGATATAAACAATAATTGGTAAATATTAATTAAATTAAAAATAAATAGTAAGTTGTGTATATTGGGTTGCATAGACTGATCATAATTAAAAACTAATTGTGGATGTTTATTAAACATTGTTTTTAAGCCTTTTCTTATGGTACATCTTTTTTGATTAAGAATGATAGAACGTAAATGGCAAGAAGACTGATTATCGATGGGTTGCTTTGGAGATGGATTAACTAGCTACTTGGAATTCTGCTACTTTATGGTTAATTATTTAATTACTCTGTGCTTTGGTTGCTTTTCTTCTTGGAAAGCCCACGCATCAAGTTACATTAACAATAGATTGACTTGTGGAATCATTTTGTTTTGATTTGGATTAAATTGATGTGGACTTTGGTTTCTTTATGGCTGGATTGGTTTAAAGTTAAAACAATCCATGTGCCCACAGTAAAAAGTATAATACTGTACTTAGATGTAAGTTTTAAGGCAATCTTGTAGAAGAGGGGAAAACAATACAAGAGAGACAAGCAAAAGATAGAAGTAAAGCCAGATGAGAGAAATATATGATGGGCAAATACGTTCACACCAAATTTGGAAGCATAGTGAAAGAAATCAGTTGGCTATCAAGACTTGAAATTGACTATGTGAAGAAGCTTGAAGAGGAGAAGTAAACTTACACTGGAAAATTTTTCACCTGTAAGGTTTTAGTTCATAAATGTGATGAAGAAATGTGTTCTTGTTAAAACTTCACCATAATATATGCAATTAAACAAAAACTAGACACAAGCCAAACTCTGACAACAACCAATTAAGACAGCCATAAGTAAAAATTACAAATAATTTCATATAGAAGCTTTGACAGTTGACAAGGGGAATTCCCTAATTCACTTTTTGTATTATTCGCGCGGAAATCTAGCTTTTTATTAGACAAAGAGGCCAAACAACTGAGTTTCTAAATTAGTGCTTAAACATTCCCAGGAAGGAAAATCAGTACAAGAAATTACAAAAATTGTAGACAGAAGCCATTCTAAGGCGCACGATATAATAAAACGCTGCAGTATCTACAATCGGGTGGCAAACAAGTAAAAGAGCGCTCATAATAAAATTTTTACTGAATTGGATGAACGGTATTTAATAAGAAAAATGAAATTCAACCCCCCTACGATCCCAAAGAGTATCACAACACAAACGGTCCCAATATAGAGCCCACCTCCAAGAGGAAAGGTGCGGAAATGGCATTTGACAATTTAACCGATTGTGATTAGCTAACTAGGAGTTTATAAATTTTACAAATGAAGTGTCACAACCAATGTGATGTAAAATACATAGATATGAGCCAAGGTCCGTTCAGTAAACATACTGTAAGGTTATCCAACTCCATATGAACGCTGTTGTTATGAACGTATCCCTCCGCAAAGGCCTTGCTATGACGTCATTGGAAGAATTGACATTTCTATGTTTTTATTTATACAGTGTATTTCACTTAAGAAGCAATATACAAAAATATTAAAAAAAGTAAATAAAATAAAAAAAAATTAAAATATAAAGCGAAATGTTACCGGTTATAATTTTATTATTGTTAGGTTATCCAACTTGACTCGGTTACCATGGTGATTAAGATCCAAACATTGCAGGAACTTGTCAATATTGAAATTGAATTTAAGTTTTTTAAAGGGAAAAGTCTTATTTAATTGGTTTAAAAGGCTGTATTTAACTCAAAATTGGTTTATCTAGGGTATTATAAACAAGGTAAGTGTATTAAATCAAAAAGAGATATTTTTAATTTATTTCTCTTAATTAGAATCAATTTAAATTAATTACAGTTAACGAATTTGTTATGAATGCGAGATAATCGTAAAGAATTCGAATAGTTTTATAATTAATAAAAATTAAGTTAAAATTGATAAAAAAATCGGAATAAAATTTTATTATTTTAGGTTATCCAACTTGACTCGGTTACCATGGTGATTAAGATCCAAATATTGCAGTTGCTTGTCAAAATTGACGTTGAATTTCAGTTTTGTTAGTGAAAACACGTAATTAATTGGATTTAAAGGTTGTATTTAATTCAAAATGGGTAAATGGATGAAATTATAAGCAAGGTAAGTGGATTAAATCAAAAAAAAATATTTTTAGATCAATTAAAAAGTACAAGAATAACAACTAAAACTAGAACTAACACTAGACCTACAACTAGAAAGTTTTAGGTTTAGCCGGGCGTCTTAGACAAGAACTTAGAAAAGTCTGAAGACGCACGGCTAAACCCGAATATTTCTAGTTCTAGGTCTAGTGTTAGTTCTAGTTTTACACTAGCACTATCACTACAATTAACACAAGACCTAGAACTAGAAACAGTCGGGTTTAGTCGTGAAAAAAACATTCAGTTGTCAATGTCAACTTTAATTTTATTATTATACAGGGTTAGCCAGTGAAACGAGAAGATTTAAATAAGTAACTAATTCTTTAAGAAAATTTATTTTTTTAATTTAATGGTTATAAACATAAAGTACAAAGATGGCCATTTACTGTACTATAAAAGAAAATTTTATTTTTTGAATCTGCCATATGTCTTCCATTGGAATCTATGCACTTCTGCAGCCGGGCCTGGAAGTTTCCCATGACATTTTGCAGCATATTGACTGGTATTCCTTCAATTTCGTCCCGAATTCGTTGTTTTAGGGCTGGGATAGTTCTGGGTGGATCGTTCTGAAAAACTCTTGTTTTTAAGAAACCCTATAAAAAAAAGTCGCAGGTTGACAAATCTGGAGAGTGAGGGGGCCAAGGGGAATGACGCCGCCTGGAAATAAAGCATTCACAGCATTCATAGCAACTCTAGCGGTGTGGCTTGTTGCCCCATCTTGTTGGAATATTCTGTGTTCATTCGCATTAAAACGGGCGAGTTCTGGCGTAAGAAAGTTCTGGATCATTTCAACGTAACGCACAGAGTTAACAGTCACAGCACTTCCATTGACATCCTCGAAAAAAAATGGGCCTATTATTCCTCTTGCCGACATGGCGCACCAAACGTCACCTTTGAAACATGAAGAGGCGTTTCATGAAGTACGCCAGGGTTTTCCTCTGACCAGTATCTGAAGTTTTGTTTATTAACAAAACCAGATAGGTGGAAATGCGCCTCATCGCTCATCCACAAATGGTTTATTTGGTCGTCATTTTCTTCAAGTCTTCTGGCCATTTCCTCACAAAATTGTAATCGTTTCTGATAGTCACTTGGTTTGAGAGATTGCACANATAAAATTCATTTCTTGAAGGATCCTTGTGGAAATATCGCCAATTATTAATTAAAGTATCCTCTTTTTAATGCAACAAGCCGTTTTGAAAAATCGCTTCTAGTTTTTGAGAAATAAATTTTTGAAGTGATCGACAACAAGAGGAAAACAATATTTATTTGGACTTATATAAAAATTATATAAAATAAATATAAAAAAAGAGTCCAAAATTGCTATAGACCTTAGTCTTCCTGCCCGTGACTTTGAATTCGGTTTGGTTGTACTTGGGTCTTCTCAGTTGGGCCTTATTTTTTTAAGAAGTGTGAGCCGTGTTATGGGACAGTGGGTAAGGGAAAGGGGAATGATGATGAGATTTTTTAAGGCGTTTTTGGGGAAGTTCATAATTACTTTAAGGGATAAGGATTGTAGACGGGAGTTTATAGGAGGAATCTTTGTAAGGTCGTAAAGGAGTTCGTTGGAAGGGTTGAAAAGTGGGTTGTGAGGGTGTCTAATGCGACTGATAATTCTCAGGGCTGCTCTCTCTGCTACTTCCAGATGGTACTGTGATCCTCTCGGCGCTTCAGTCATGATTAATGAGGCATATTCGATTATAGGTCGGCATATTGAAGTGTATATGTGAGTAGCGCATTTGGTGGATATTCCTCGGGCTCTATATGACAGTGAGCGGAAGTATTTGGCGCGGTTTTTGACTTTAATTTTTACTTTGATGGCGTGGGCAGAGAATTTAAGGGTTCTATCCAAGGTAATGCCGACGTAGCTGCAAGTTGGTGAAGCTGTGATAGGAGAAGATTGAATTATTATTGTGGGAGGAGCAACGCGAATAGGGAGGAAGGGGATGAGGAATTGGGTTTTGGAAGGATTTATCAAGATACGCCATTTTCGGTACCATTCCTCTATGTTTTGGATGAGCGTCTGCTGCCTTAGGATTGATGATGGAATGTCTACATCATGTGCGACGAGAGTAGTATCATCGGCATAAAGTAGGGCGTAAGACATCGCATCGAAGATGTCTGGGTTGTCGTTGTAGATGTTATGGCAGTAGACGTTGTACAGTGCTGGCGAGATGGGAGAGCCTTGAAGGAGACCTTGTTGAGCGGTGAAACTGTGAGAGTAGTTTTTCACTTTAACCAATGAGGAGCGGTCTGAAAGAAATTTTTTAGCAGGTTAAGAAGATAAGATGGGATTTTCAACATAGCTAGCTTGTACAGTAGACCTCTGTGCCACACGGAGTCGAATGCCTTCCGAACATCCAGGAAGACTGCGGCGGATTGTTGTTTTTGGTAACGTGCGACTTGGAAGTTTGAGACAAGCACTGCCAAGGGATGAAATGTAGATCTACCTTGTTGGAATCCAAATTGGTATGACGGAATCCTCCTTGCAACAACATCGAGCAGCTTGTTCTTCAAGTGTACCCCATTACGGGTAGCAATGAGATAGGACGGTAGTTCGTAGGGTCGGATAGAGAAGAATCTTTCTTGGGGATGCATATGATAATAGAGGTCTTCCAATCTTGTGGGAAATGCTGGGTGGTAAGGCAATAGTTGTAAATTTTTCTTATGTAGGCGTAGATATCAAGATCCAGCTTCCTTAAGATTTCCCTTGAAATGTTGTCGTATCCAGGGGCTGTGTTGGTTCCTCTGTTAAGTAGTGTGAAGTATTCTTCTTCCTGCATGAGAGCATCTTGAGGTGTTTCGGACGAATTGAGAAAGGCGTGTTGGTACCAATTGTCTACAGTGTTTTTGTTGTGAGGGCATTACAGGGCCTCATTGCTGAAGGAAAACACCCTCTCAAGGTATTCAGCGTGAATGTTTATTATTTTTTCCGGGCTAGTGTGTGAGCAGCTATCCGTAGGGTCAATAAGCTCCTGGGTTTCTGGCGACTTTTGGTACTTCGAAAGTTTGTGGACTTCTTGCCAGTAGTTTTTACCCTTGCTTCTGTTGATTTTATCACAGTGATCGACAATTTTTTCGAATTTTGCAATTTTGCAAGTTTTAAAAATTCGTATAAAATCCGGTTCTTGGAATATGAGTATAAAAATTTCCCAAAGTGTTAATAAAAGCTTTCTCTTTCCAATGAACCAAAACGTTTTGATAAATTACTTTTGAGAAAACAATATTTGAAGTTTTGATAAAATTTTCGATATTGCAATTTTCATCGATAACTTGCAAAATTCGGTATAAAATTAATTTCTTGAAGGATCCTTGTGGAAATAACGCCAATTATTAATTAAAGTATCCTCTTTTTAGAGTTGCTTCGTTAGTTAAATCAGCCTCAAAAATGTTCATTTGTATCTTGGATCCAAATAAGTTGACATATCTTATCAGCTTTCTTATTAATTTCATTTTTATTCAAATATCGCAACAATGTGGCAATATAGGGTATCACTTCGGCAATGCACCAGAAATTATAACCATAATTGCTGGATAGATATGCCGTATAACCGGATATCCGGTCGAAGGGGATGCCGAATATCCGATGCAAAATCACTATCCGTTCTATCACTAATGCAAATGCATAGTAGTTTCGTAACTATGGTTACTGCATTCATATATTGCGAGTTATATGAAATTCCTGGTAATTAAGATAAAGTAATGTTTCCAGTAGATCATAGCTTTGTTCGTTGGGACTGCACTACTCTGCACGACATGGCACTCGTATGACGTCATAGTGCAATGAAGTGTAAGTCAGTGCAATGTCATGTCAACTTAGTGCAGGTCAGAAAAGTGTATAAAGCGTGGTCCCAACGAACAGATTTTTATAAAAAAAGTGTATAATATTTGAAATAGACGAACTAGGAGATTAGCTTTGTTCGTTGGGACTGCACTACTTGCACTCACATTAATGACGTTCTGTGTTACTCCTCTTTAAATTTATGTTTTTCTAAGAAAAAAAAGGTTTGAACTCGCTAAAACCGGTTTTAATACATTCTTATAAGTTAATTGAAACAACATGTGATGGTTCAAAATGTGGTGTGGTGGTTGTTGGTCCAAAAAACTTTCTCGAAATTCGACGTTGTGGCATCAACGTGAAATTAGTCGTTAGCTAATTTCATTCTAAATACATTGACGTTTGATGGATTTGGAGGTTAAAAGGTAAATAATTTAATGTTATTTGGGTTCAGTCTAAAATGCAAAGTTTAATTGTTATGAATCAAAAATTATTTTATTTCGTTTAGATTATTAATTATATGGAGATGATTGAAAATGAAAATTGAGCTTAAATTCCGTAAAACGGTAAATCAATAGGTTCGAATTATGTATCTGGAGATAATATAACAAGAGATTGCAGCTGAAATTCAGAACACACCAGTTATTGTAGCTGATGATTTCGAAAAGAAAATCTCTTTTCAAGATTGTCAATAAGACTACGTATTGTAACAATAACAACCAACCCNATAGGTTATCTCTTTACTACGAACAGGGTGAATCTACGTAGTTTTACTAGATTATTTTCCGGTATTTCCCTTCCAAATATGGATAATCGTATAAAAGCTTCCGTAGTTATTATTTTGACGCTGGGAACTCCTCGTCGAGTGAAATGCAAATACTGGATGAAAGAATGATTGAAGAAGAGAGAGATGAATATTCTCATCTAGTACTGTTGAGAGAAATCAGCCTCTGCGATGTTGATGATTTGAGGAACTACTTTCGAATGGATGAAAGTACCTTTAACAAACTGTTACAGATGGTTGAACCATTTTTGAAAAGACAGGATAGCAATATGAGAGAAAGTGTTAAGGAAAGATTAGCCTTAACCCTGAGGTACTTGGCCACAGGAAGAAATTTTGAAGAATTGAAGTTTTCTGTCGTAATGTCCCCAGCAACTATCAGCAAAGCTGTAACAAACCTTTATATATGTCCTACAAGACCACATAGAGTAGTTCGTATCTTGTTCATCATCACGGGAACTGGATGAACCAACAGTATCTCCATCGTGTTGAACGTCAACAACGTCAGTTAATGGGTCGGTCATTTATAAGAATTAAACCTGTTTTCAAATCATCTGGGTTAAAATAACATATGTTTCTTCAGTGTGTTGATAGACATGTGTTGTTATTGTTACAATTAAATAAAAGTGTTTAATTTTGAAAGTTGAGTTTATTACACTGAGTATTGATGGAAATATTGACGCTAATACTACACTGTCAATATTATTATTATTATTATTATAACCTTTATTGTTTTCCGTATAATTCACAAAAAAAAAATAAAAAGAAATTCACTAAATCAAAATAGTTTAAATCAAATAAGTATAACTAAATAATTAAGGGAACAATATTAAAGGTAATATCCCAGCATTCACTGAGAATACACCACTAATTCTGTCGAACAGAATTGTGAGTGGTTTTTCGAAAAATTTACAATAATTAGTGACCTATAGGCTTTACAATTTACTTAGCTCAGGTATTGTAGTACAGTCATATTTATCTATAAGTAGCAATTAAAAGAAATTGAAGAAAACGCTTACAAATGGAAAATAAGACAAAATAATTACAGGGAATGCTATTGTAGAATATCACTTAATTCGCCAATATTCGTTAAGGTTTTTAACCATTCTCTCACAACGGTAATGTACTGATATAAAACTCTTGTACAAGTTATATATTTTTGGTGCATAGAAGATGAAACACTTTTGACCGATCGCTTTAGACACCCTTGCCGGTTGAATGTCCATATTAATATTAATTATTACAAAACACGCTTTCAAATATTCCGCCATTTTAGTTACACTGCATTAAACTGCACTTATTGAACTTAATCGAAAGCAGGTGGAACAAAATCTGCACTAACTTGCACCGGCTGCACTAAATTGCACTGCACATGGCCCAACGAACAGTATGAGTGCAACTGTACTAAACTGCACTATCCCCAACGAACACACAACATCTGCACTAAACTGCTTAGTGCAAGTGAGTGCAAGTAGTGCAGTCCCAACGAACAAAGCTATTGACGATGAGTTAAAAATTTGGAAACTGTAATAGTATATTAAAAAACAAATTTCGTAAGACACGCTTGAAATGCACGAATTCAAGTTGAAAAACGAGTGGCGAAGCCACGAGTTTTTTAATGAATGAGTGCTTTAAGTCTTATGAAAAGTGTTTTTTATGCTATTTTTTGTAATTCGCGTTTTTATCCTTTTTTTTTACAAAAATAAAATAAATTTTGACAATGTAGGGAAATAGGTATGTAGCAGTTGGTAACACCGTAACACTTGAAAATGGAAATTTAAATTGACAATTAGAAACTGTCAAAACACAAAATGTATTCACCTGAAAAACATGTTTCATGTACACCTCCCAAAATAGGAGAAATTGCTCAGTGTTCAATGTCCTCATCATTGTGGACCTTGTATTCGATGCTAAGAACGTGTTTAAACATCCATAGACAAAAATTGTCACATTGACAACTAGAAAAATTAATGACCCAATGTCACCAACCTATGTACTGGTTCCATAAAATGTTACTAAAATCTCATTACAGCATCGGATGCTGTAAGGAGTCTCATTACAGCACCCGTTTGAGTACTGTTAGAGCTTTCGTTACCGTCGCGAATTACAAAAAATTTTTTAAAAATATTTAAAAATTTCATATTGTATAATCGCGGGGTTTTTAACGTCGTCAGGATGGCCGAGCGGTCTAAGGCGCTGCGTTCAGGTCGCAGTCCTCTCTGAGGGCGTGGGTTCGAATCCCACTTCTGACATGTTTTATTATCGATTTTATTTTTTTAAAAATTTATTATTTATTAATTAATTAAAAAGTTAAATGCAACAAACTTTTAATTTCCCATAAATAAGTTATATTCCCCATCAATTTTATTATTACCACGCCATTTAGTTTACTTTCTCATTTTCTTTTCATCTCTTCTTTGATGTCACTCAAAATGCAGTACCCCATTGTTTAAAACCACGTCAACCTATTATTTTCAAGGCGGGATTTCTTTTCTAGGTACACGTAAGAATCATTTTAATAAAATAACACTTGATTTTTTTGGGTCAAATCAAAAAGATGATGCGCTTCTTCGTGCACGGTTTCTTGTGGATTTCTTCGGTCCTATTCGGGTTGATTTTATACCCAATTAAATGGATGGCGTATTTTAAGAAATCAAAAAAATGTCCACCGATTAAAGACGATTTATTACTTATACCAGCGATTAAATTAGCCGAATTACTACGAAAAAGACAAGTAAGATTTATTTATATTAATTTTCAATCAAAATTTTCTTTAGATTTCTAGCAAAATCATCATTGAAACTTACATCAATCGTGTAAAAGAAGTTAACCCAATCTTAAACGCAATAGTTCAAGACCGTTTTAGTGACGCTTTATTAGAAGCAACAAACGTTGATATCTTTTTGGATGAAACCGACTTAACCGAAGACGAATTAAAAACGAATTATCCACTTTTGGGGGTTCCCATCACAATAAAAGAAACGATCGCCTTAAAAGGGTTGAGTTTTAATGGGGGTGTTAAGACAAAAACGCCATATATCGCCGATTTCGATAATGACGCAGTTAAATTAATTAAAAACGCAGGGGGTATTCCTTTATTAGTTTCCAACACCCCGGAATTATGCTTAAATTGGGAAACTTGTAATAAATTAACTGGAAGGACCTTAAATCCCTATGATACAAGAAGAACTTGTGGTGGATCATCCGGGGGAGAAGTAAATAAAAATTCTTACATTATTAATTAATTAATTTTTTTTATTTAGGCCGTTTTATTATCATCGGGAGCTTCTGTACTAGGTTTAGGATCGGATTTATGCGGTTCAATTCGATTGCCATCAAATTTTTGCGGGATTTATGGCCACAAACCGACCGGAAATTCAATTTCCATCAACGGAACCATCCCTTATCTCAAAGAAAAAAATAATATTTGGGAATATGCGTTAACAGTCGGCCCATTAACGCGTTATGCATGCGATTTAAATCTGCTTTTCGACGTCGTTTTAAAACCGGAAGTTAAAGATACATTTAAAACGTTTGATTTAATCGATCTAAAAAGCATAAAAATTTTTTACATGGAATTTGATGGCGATGCTTTTATGACTCACGTTATTGATAGGGAAATCGTTTGTAAAATTCAAAAAGTTATCAATCAATTTCAAATTAACGGATTTGAAACTAAAAAGGTAAAAATTAATAATGTTGATTTGTTGGTGGTGAAAATTTTTTTTAGGTTAAATTAAAACGGATGTCTGATTCCGTTGATCTCGCTTTTCTCCCTTTATTAACAATTTCCGGTCTCCAAACTGTGTTTAACAACGATCGAAATTTATTTGGGGAAATTTTAAGAACGTTTATTGGCTGCTCAAATGTCGAACCGACATCGATTTTATTTCAAGTTCTTTACACGATTTCTCGACGCTTAATCGACAACAAAAGGCAGAAAAACATAATGAAAGAAATCGAAGCTTTTCGAAACGATATTAACGACTTGCTTGGGTCGGATGGTGTTCTTTTATATCCGGTTTTTCCAACGGTCGCGCATTTCCACGGCGAGATTTATTCGAAAACTTTGGATACTTCGTATATGACGATTTTTAATATTTTGGGGATACCAGCGACGAGTTGTCCGATTGGGGTTGATTCAAATGGGTTACCGATTGGATTACAAGTGAAGATTTTCTTTGAAAATAATAAATGTTTGTGTTTAATTTTTTTATTTTAGGTTGTTGCTAATTTTAGAATGGATAGATTATGTTTTAAAATCGCTGAAGAAATCGAACGGGAATTCGGAGGATGGAAACAACCACCTTTTAGCGATAATGATGAAAAAGTTTAGGTTTAAAGTGATATTAGTCGTTTATGCACTAATTAGTCAAAAAATTATAATATAACCGGCGTTTCCACCTTTTTTTTTTATAATTTACGACATGACATAGTAACTTATTTTACAGAAAAATTGCATTTTCTTTTTAGACGTAAAAATGTATACCATATCAAATACAAAGCTAACCATATTTAAATAGTATCAAGAGTTATAAAGCCGAGGTCGCTTGCGGCCGAGGCATTATATTGATACCACATCGCACACAGAAACCGATCGCTTATCAACGGTATTAAGAGTAATAAAACCGAGGTCGCTTGCGGCCGAGGAGCTACATTGTTACCATGTTGCATAAAAAACTAACCACCAGTTTACAACAATATTAACAGTAATAAAGCCGAGGTCGCTTGCGGTCGTGATATAACATTAGTGGTGCGTACCAGAGACTTGCAACTAGGGCTTGCAATATCGAACCAAAAAATGGAAAGATATTAGGAATCTGTACAAAGTACCAATAATCTTAAAGGTCTGGTAATACCATTACCAGACCTTTAAGGTAATACCATTATTGTTTTGTTGTTTTTCACTTGGTTCAAAGTTTCAACTTCATCATCTGACGGTCTGTGGAATTCTTTCGAATTCCTGCTTTGGAATTTTCTGGAAAGCTGCAGATTTATTTATTTATGTACATAGGACACAGCACAAGACGAACCCAATAAAAGCTGTGTCACTGAAAAGAATAAGAACAAAACAAAATAATAAAGACACAAAATAACATCAGTAGTGAACAGTAGTAAAAACAATAAAATAAAATAAGATAAGTAAAATAAACGATCAAAAATTCTGATTGAAATTAAGGAAACATTCTATAAACAAGTAAAAAATAACAACAATAAGGAATTGCTGATTGTAATGTTAACAATGATACGGCATGCTCCCAACAGCAGCTAATGGATTCATAAGCAAATATATCGATGGACAGACGGTCGGCTGATTGTTGCGTGCCGCTCGATCATAAGGAATGTTGATAAGTACGGGTTGTAGGAGTGAAAAAGAGAAAAACATAACTCAACGTTCTGAACGGAACATCCAAATTCACTAGAGACGTAAGGGAAGTCAAATTATAGATATTATGAATTAATTTATAGAATAGCAATACGTCACTAGCAAAACGTCGCCGAGTCAGTCGTAGAAACCGAAAGGATTGGCACGCCGAGTCGTAGTCAACATAGTTGATATGAGACTTCCGACATAAAAATCGAAGAAATCTCTTTTGGACTAGTTCTAATCTTTTCACGTACATGTCATATAGAAAAATATCATTAATGTAAATATTGAAGAGCAAGGGGCCAAGGATACTTCCCTGGGGAACACCGGACGAGACGGCCACTGACTGTGAGGAGAAACCTCTAACCATGACTCACTGCGTTCTATCAACCACATAGAAAGCGAGCCACTGTTGTATGTTGCTGGGTAAACCAACTTGTTCTATTTTATTTAATAATAGCAAATGATCAACCTTATCAAATGCTTTGCTAAAATCAGTGTATACGGAATCAACCTGGCAGTTATCGTCAAAAGAATGCAAAATGTAATTAGTGTATTCAAGAAGATTAGTCTCTACTGAGCGACCAGCAAAAAAACCATGCTGTCGTTGGTCTAAAACATTCTTAACAATGTAAAAAATTGGTTTATAAATTAAGCTCTCGAGAACTTTACCGAATATAGGCAGTAGATTCAAGAAAGAAACTTTAAGATAATGGCTCTTGGTAGTTTGTCAGATTCATCTTGAAAATATAAACTTAGAACGGACAGAAGATAGATAACAAACAAGAATTCTCTACGTAATTTTCCAGCACAACTTCAAACTTGCACGGTCGTTTTCGAAGACCTCGGCCTCCCCCGGCCATCGAGGGCACTAAATAAAAACAATACCGAAATACGGGTATTTTGAAATCCCGGGATCCCGGTATTGCAAGCTCTACTTGCAGCGAATGGCTCACATAGTGAATCATATTCGCTGATTCGTTGCTTGAGTGTTGCCTTCATTCGTCAATAGTTACTGCGAATAATGTTGTGTGGTGTTCTTTCTTAAGTTACTGTATTGTCGACTCCGAGACCTGCACCGAATGGCTCTCATGTCAATTCATTCGTCAACAGAAGTGCGAATCATGTAGTGCCGTGCTCATTCAAAAGCAGCGAATGGTTTAGAACCATTCGCGAATAAGTTTAGAGATTGTAGATTCCGGATTCATCGTAAGATATTGAAGAAAATAAACTCGAAAAAACGATGAAAAATTAAATTTATTAATGTAAATTCGGTGCTATTGACAATTTCGAACGCCTAGCATTCATAATCATATCATAATCTTATCAGGCACGACTACAAGAAACAACAAAATAGAAATTAAATCAAGAATTTAAATTAATTGATCAAAGAATCCTTATAAATCTTAAAATATTTTATACTTTGTATACAAATAAAGAAACATTTACCGTCAAACGAAGAGCATCAAGTTGAGGCCGAATGTAATCGTGTGTTACATTGCAAAGCGCTCTTAATGTCTTAGTGTTGATTCACCATTCGTTTTTTTGTGAATGTTTCATTCGGGCGAATTAAACCATTCATGCAGGTTTCTGATGCAGATACACTACACGATTTCTTTATTAATATTGGAACCGCACAATTAAACTCCACTAACTTTGACGAAATCATAATACCACTCAATACCACTTCAAGAATGGGGAATTTTATACAATAAAGGAGTCAGAAATCGTAAACGTTATACGAGCTCTGAACGCTAAAAATACGAAAGATATACAGGCTGTATCTGAATGATGTACCCAAACTTCAGGGGTGATTCTTTAGACAATTTTAAGGGTATTTTAATATATGAAGCGTGGGCGACTTCGACTCCCCTAAGGAGCTACACCCCTCCTAAAATGGCGGAAAATTTTGGTTTAATTTTTTTTTCTCAAAAATCATAAACGCTAGGAAAATGAAATTTGGGGAATATGTTTAACTCATAATAGGGCACGTTTTGACCCTATTTGTACTTTCAACCCACCCTTCTAAACTACTAAACGTAACCACCTCCGTTCAATTTATGCCTAGATTTTTATGATCAGGATGATAAATACATTGGAAAAATTTCAGTTAGATAGATAAAACTATTCTAAAACTTTTTTGTCTCTCTGATCTTCTTCTAAAATTTAATAATTTCTGAGAAAAAAAATAATTAAGCAAACACTAACTGTTAACCTGTAGGGTTGTTAATCGAAACAAATCATAGATACAATGATTTCCAAACAATTATGTAAAGTTCTGAACAAGTGTATAGAAGGAGTTTTTCCGACAGAATTGAAAGTTGCTAAGGTAATACTGATTTACAAACAAGGTGATATTAATGATTGTAAAAAACTACAGACCTATTGATATAGGTTACCAAGTTTGTCAAAGATCTTTGAAATTGTACTAGAAGACATGATTGTGCATTATATGCAAGCAAATAATATTATAACAAAATTCCAGCACGGGTATCAGAAAGATAAATCTACCACTACAGCACTCCTAACTTTGGTACAAGAAATTATACAAGGTTTTGATCTTCAACAATTTACGCAGATAGCTTTATGTGATCTCAGTAAGGCTTTTGATAGCGTTGATCATGAGATACTTTTGTATAAGTTGGGGAAATATGGACTTCACTATACAGCATTAAAACTAATCAGATCTTATCTGTTTGGAAGAAAACAGTGCGTGTACTGGAAAGATCGTCAGTCTAAACTAAAAGATATAACAACAGGCGTACCGCAGGGGTCGGTATTGGGACCCCTTCTTTTTCTTTTGTATATAAATGATTTACCAGAAAATATTCCAACAAGCTCTATGTGCTTATATGCCGACGATACTTCACTTATAAATAGACATACAAATATTGAAATTTTGAAACAGAAAACAAAGCATACAATACGGCGGGCTGAAGACTGGTTTAACACTAATAAATTAAATCTGAATACAGATAAAACCAAGATACTCACCTTTTACACTAAACAAGGAGGTGAGGTAACAAATCAAATAATAAAATTTCTGAGTGTTACACTGAATGAAACTTTCAATTGTTCGGATCATGTAACAAAACTAAAACAACGATTGGCTGGTTCTTTGTACTGTTTGAAGGTTATAGTTAAAAGCTTACCTTTGGAAGAAGCAACAAATGTTTACTTTGCGTATTTCCACAGCATTGCAACATACGGGGTATAATGGTATGGGGTGTTTCCACCGAATCGGAGAAAAATTTCAAACTGCAAAAGAAGGCGACACGAATCCTATTGAAAATGGCCCAACCAGACAGTTGCAGAACGCGATTCAAGGAATTAACGATTATAATGTTACCATCGTGTTTCATACTTGCTTGTGTTAAACACGTTCATATATATATATTCAATATCGAGAAGAATTTTCCATAAACTCAGATAAGCATGATTATAGTACGCGTCAAAGAGGAAATTTGGCGATTCCGTACCATCGGACAACAAGAACACAAAAATCTTTCAATTTTACAGTGGTTAAATTATATAATGCATTACCATTGGAGATAAGGGAAATGAATTCCAGAATGTTCAAAGCCTCGGTGAAAGAAATTTTACAGGATGGAGAATTTTATTCTATTAATGATTTTTTTATAAATTTTAAATTGTAATTTATTTTCTTTGTTTTGTGACGATGTATTGTGCGCTGTATGTACCTTATTGAATAAAGAATAATAATAATAATTTAAAACATTTTCCCTTGACAGCGAACATACTTCTGTGTAGAACACAAGTGCATCAAATTTCGCAATAATTTCATTACTTAACATTTTGAAAATTCTCAAATTTGTTGCACTGATCCGAATATGATTGCAAATTTTTACTATGTCATTAAACACCCTCGGGGAAATTTGAGAGTAGCGTGTTAACAGCCAAGGCATATCGATGTATCATGCAATGATAAGTTAAGCATTGTGGGGTAACTTGTTTCACAAATATTTAAAAATCAAAACGAACACCCATCATGAAAGGGTCAAAATTCATGTTATATTTTGATAAAAGAAGACTTTAATTAAAAAATTAGTTTATTTCTGTACTAATTTTAGATAAAAATCACCTCCAATTAATCATTTTTTATATTTTCCACTTAATTTACCCAACAAATTTCCTTTACCGCATAATATGCAAAGTTATTTTAATTTTTCTGGCGTGATATACACTGAAAACGCGTTCGAATATGGAAATGAAGTACGGTAAGCTTTTCTCCACGTGTATTCCTATGACTGGTTTGAGTTGAGTTGCAACGCAAACGACCTTAAACGTTTTAAGTTAAAAAAGATAATCAAAAATTGGATTAAGTGTCAAAAACATGTTTTGAGTTATTGATTTTGATGGAAAGTTGTCAAATTAGAGTTGTTTGTCGGCAGTTGCGTGTCATTTTGCGATTTTCGAATCGATCCCGGTACTAGGATGAGCCAAGAGCTCCGATGGATCCAGTCGGTACCACTTTCGTTTAAAACCGCAACATGGAAAGTCACGAATTGTAAGTTTTTGACTTTTAAATTAATTGAGAAGAAAATGATTTTTTTAATGGGGCTTTTAGAGACCATGGTACGATTGCTGGAATTTTAAAAACTATTTTTTTGGTGAGTTTAAGAATTTTGTTAAGTACTAAGGTAAAATTAAGTTTAATTTTATTTTTTTAGTTCTTAGAAGGTCAAAATTTAAATAAAACCTGCGAAACTTTTCTTTTGGAAACTGAACAGTTGGGATATCCACCAATTCGTACCGCAATTGCTCAAATTTTAATACTAAAACCAGCAGTAACAGAAACAGTGACGGTAACAAGAGCACCGGCAGATGTAGATTTAATTTGTCATTGTGATGAAGAAACCGAAAGTGATCAAAAAGACACACAAATTAATCTTATAAACGAAACAAACGATCAAAATGAAGAACAAAATCACGACAAAAATGAAGAACAAAATCACGACAAAAATGAAGAACAAAACCACGACAAAAATGAAGAACAAAACTACAACGAAAATGACAAAAAAGGTAATAAACAAAAAGATAAATACGAAGATAGACTAAAACAAAATTCTATAAACGGCTCAGTCGATAAATTTGCGGATATGCTTGCCAATATGATGATGATAAGGTTATCGCGCTCCCAATTTGATGCCATTTCAAGTGTGGCGATACGCACGAGTGAAGATAGTAGTAATGATAGTAGTAGCTCTTCCAAAAGTGGCGAAAATTGTAAGTGAGATTGAATTTAAATTCAATTTAAAATAATTATTTAAACTCAAATAATTATTTTATTACGACAATGTCACTTACAAAATGATTTGACACATTACCTCAGAAATACAAAATTTCAAAAACAAAACTAAATTCTAAACTATTTTTATTCCTTGTTAAAGCAATGGATGCAATGAAAGAAAGTTGTTTTCCTTGCGAAGATTGCAACGAACTAACCCCAGTTTCTAATACTTCAATTCCAGAATCCGAAAATAAATTGGCAATGGCAAAACCTTCAGTAACTTTTTCATCGGAGAAAAATCCTTATCAGAATCCACCAAAAGAGGATGAAAGAAATCAAAAGAACGAGCATCAACAAAAAGATAATAAACAAGACCCAAAGTCAAATCAAAATATGTTGTTGAAAGATAGAGTTATTAATGCCGTCGATTCCAAGGAAACCGAAATGAAATCGATATCCGATATAATATTTATTGAGAACAGTATCGATTGTGATATCGACGAAGAAATCGAATTTATACCAGAGCTTAAAGGCAAGACTCCAAAATCGGAAAATGTTGATTCGGATACTTTTAACTTTAGAAAGTTTCAAAAAGAAATTAATCAGGTGGCGTCGGACAAATATGATAACGCAAGTCAAAAAGACGAATCATTACAAATTAATTCCATTGATTTTGGTGAAATTAGCGAAAAAAGTAAAATAAATGGAGTTCAAATCGACGCTTCTGTTGGTACTAATAACCCAGAGGAATTTCCACTTCAACATATACATTTTGATTATAAACGGATTAAATATGATTTAAAAACGCACAATGATGAGTTTAAATTGATGGTGTTACAAGCAGTTCGATGGGTAAGTAATAAATTTGCTTAACTAATTGAATCCTACTTGAACTGATTATGTTCCGACTCAAAGGAGGAGCCTGAATAACTAAGCAACTAAAAGACTAAACAACTAAAAGTGGACTTTGATGCTTTCTACAAGTCATCGATGAGTCGATGTTGTAAAAGCTGTTGTCGGAGACTCTTTTGTACTTGTCCCCCGATAAAATAGCTGACGTGATAATCAAATTAAACTAAAACTAGAACTAATAGCACTATCACTGGAACTAATACTAGACTAGAATCTCCGGTTCTTGTTAGCACTTTAGTTTTGTCGAACTCCATGCTGTGTCCTCCTTTGTGGCAATACTCCGCGACTACAGATTGTTGGATTTTATTCAGTCGGACGTCCCTCTCGTGTTCCTTGATGCTTTCAATCCAACTCCTTTAAAATTTTTTACTCCACTAAAAAACTTCCTTACTTACAGAATTTAGGCAACCTGGACACGTTCTGGCATTAATGCAGGACCGCCGTAGCGAATTTATTTCCAATGGCGGATACAGCCATCTTAACTGGTGACTTAAATATTGATTTTTTGAAATGTAATTCTGGTAAAATGTAATTGTTGACCCTACACGAAGTGCAGCGCGGTCTGCTACTTTATTGGATTTAATATTTATTTCTAATACTAATTTAGTGGAGGACAGCGGTGTATATGAGGTGCATGTTATGTCAGATCATGATATGTTTTTTTGTAATCTGAAAATTACTACCAACACCGAGCCTGATCCCCATTTTATAACTAGGTCATATCGAGATCTGGATTATGATTCATTTTTGATGGACTTGTATCGAATGCCATTCTTCCATATTTTCGATTTAGACAACGCAAACATCAAAGCCGACTTTTTAACTCAGCTCGTTTTGGCCGTTCTTGACGTACATGTTTACATATGCAAAAACTGCGCGACAAGGTGTACAATAACTTCCGTAATAACAGATCAGAAGCGAAATGGGAATATTACAAATCGGCGCGTAATTTAGTTAATACCTCGATTATTCATGAGCGCAGGGCATATTTTGAGTCGCAATTGAACATCACAAATGATTGTTGGAAAGCACTGCGATAGTACGGGAATATTTAAAAGAAAGACATGTCAGTTCTACCTCACCTTGGGTCACCCAATGATATCAATAATTACTTTATTGCAGCGGTATCGGGGGGAGGTGTTCCTGACTTAGAACTGGTCAACTTTTATAATTCCAACAAACGGAATAACTTGTCGTTTGTCATTAGTATATTATTTTCACCCTCTACCCTCTTCCTCCATTTCCATACCCTCGGCTCCTCGGCCCAATCCTCCCCTCATCCATCCCTTTGTCTCCTCACCCCCACAACCTTTCTCATCCATCGTTTCCCCTCTCCCCCCTCTCCTAAGATCTGCCCTCGGTCCAACTCCTCCTCCCTCAACTCACTGCACCCATTCAACATATGTGCCAACGTTTCCCATTCCTCCCTGCATAGCCTACACCACCTCTCCTCATCGGCCATCCAGTATCTGTTAGCTCTCTCCTCGTTTCCACAACGGAACCTCGCCACCAACTTTTTCCCTTCCTCATCTCCTTCCAATAACAAGTATCTAGGCAGCCCCTCCGTAATTATGTCCCTGTACCTTTCGTTATACCTCCCCTCTTTTATTTGTGTCCTTCTTTCCTGTCTCTGCACATCTCGGTCCCTATCTCTCAACTCCCTCCACATCTCCCTACCCACCCTTCGTCTACTATTTATCTCAGTTACCGAGTAGCCCGCTCGTCTATAATAGTTGTCTCTGTCTCCTTTCCCATATCTGATCTTTCCCTCTCTAATTTCCCTCCAACACTCCCCCAAGATCCCGCAGTTTGGCCTCCCTTCTATTCTTTCTTCATATTTCACTGCTCTCCTGCCCGCCTCCACTCTGACCTTATCCACCTTTACCTCTTCCCTCACTATATACCCCGGTGTTTCTCTCGCCACCCCAAGCACCCATCTCCAGTATCTAGCTTGCACGTCCTCCAGCATTGCCTGCTCTCTCCATCCCCATACCTCTGCTCCATACATCATCACACTGCTAACCAGACCTTCAAACATAATCTTCCTCGCTGCCACATTCCTTCCAAAGACTCTCTTCCCCCAACCCCATACTTGTCCCATCACCTTATTCGCCTTTTTTGCCATAGCTATCACATGCGACCCCTCCCTGTTGTCCTCCCTGAACACATACCCCAAGTAAGTATACTCCCTAACCTCCTCGATCTCTTTTCCCTCCCATCTCCAGTTTTCTGTTCTTTTTCTCCCACCCTTACAAAACTTCATCATCCTTGTCTTCCCCACATTCACTTCCAGCCCCTTCCCCCTAAAATATCTTTCCAATGTCTTTATCATATCTTTCATCTCCGCCGCTTCTCTCGCCATGACCACGATGTCATCCGCGTATGCTAACATATGCACCTTTCTACCTCCCACCACCAACCCTCCCATTTGCCCCTTCCCCAATCTATCCTCCAGGTCCGCCGTATACAGTGCAAACAGACTTGGGCTCAGCGGACATCCCTGCCTCAGTCCCTTCGTCGTCCAGAACACGTCGCTCAGCTTATCTCCCACTTTTATCCTAGCCATAGTCTCCATGTATATTTCCTTCACTCTCGCAATTAGGTGTTCCGTGATCCCCCTCCTCCCCATCTCCTCCCACAACTTTCCCCTATCCACCTTATCAAAAGCCGCCTTCAAATCTATAAACAGGGCGTACAATTTCCCTCCCTTCTTATCCAGCTCTCTATCTGCCAGATGCTTCAACACGTACACGTTGTCGATTGCTCCCCTTCCCTTCCGAAAGCCTGCCTGCCCATCCGGCAAAATTCCCCCCAACTCCATCTCCTCCTCCAGTCTTCCCAGCAGTATCTTCGTGTATACCTTGTATGCCGAGTCTAGTAGGTTAATTCCTCTGTAGCTCTCTACCCTTCCCTTATTACCCTTTTTATATACTGGGCAAATTACCCCCACTTTCCATCCCTCCGGAAACCCACCCCCTCTCCATACGCTATTCATCCCCTCCAACAACTTCACTCTCACCACCCTTGATGCTTCCAACCATGCCTCGTTCTGGATCCCATCTTCCCCTGGCGCCTTTCCCTTCTTCAATCCCCTAAGCACTGCTTCCATCTCCTCTTCTGCTATCTCCTCTCCCCCATCTCCCTCATAGCCTCCCAAACCCGTTAGCCTCGTTTCAACCCCTCCCAATAATCCCATAAAGTAACTCTTCCATTCTGTCATGTGTATTTCGCTGGTTATCCTCTCCCTACCCTTCTTTCTCTTTTTCAGATACCTCCAGACCTCCCCTTCCCTTGTTATCCCTCTAATCTCTGCCGCCTCCTTCTCCCTCAGTTCTGTTTTCTTTCTACTGCATAACTCTCTGTATCCTCTCCTGGCCTCCCTATATCTATCCACCCCTATCTTCCCCCGTCTCCACTGCCTCAACCTCCTTCTCGCCTCCCTCTTCGCCTTCTTGCACTCGCCATCATACCAGTCGTTCCTCCCTACTCTGCCCCCCCTACGTACACACTCCCTTTTCAGTGTTGCCTCCCGCACTACCTGGATAAGTTCTTCCAAACCATTGATCTCTTGTATCTTCTGTTGCCAAGTGTCTAGGTTTCCCCTGTAGAATGCTACCCCTTCTTCCGACCAGTCTGTCCTGATGAACGTGCTCCCCATTTCCGCTCGCCTTCTGCCGTCCACCCCCTTTACCTCCACCTCCAACGGTTGGTGATCCGACTCTACCGCTTCTCCCACTTTAAACCTTTCCACCCTCTCCCACATTTCCTGATCCACCAGTACATAATCAATCACAGATGTCCCCCTCGCCCCGATGTAAGTATACTCCCCTTCCTCTCCTTCCTCTTTATTTCCATTCAGTATCTCCCATCCGTTCTCCTCCACCCATCTCAGTATTTCTGTTCCTTCTTCATTCCGCACAGTATCCTTCGACCGCCGTCGTCCCTCCTCTCCCCATATCTCCACCCTTCCCCCCTCCTCGCCCACTCTAGCATTGAAATCCCCTCCCATTATTATTAACCCCATTAACTTCGAATTTATTAAAAACTAACTAAAAAGTTTTTTAACAATATCAGTAAGTGCTCTAGAGCGGTTCAGCATCAAGTTGGTCGCCAACAAATCCACACGCGTTTAAAGAGGAAGCTTCCCCAAGACCTAATAGCGTCTTTTACACCAAGAGTTTTTTCGACAGTTTTGGAGCGTACAATCCATAGCGCGCGTACCAAAACTGCCCTTGTAAACATGCCGATCTTAGACGTGCCTCGCGCGCGTTCGCGGCTCACGTGGTTGGAACGCAGGTATAGCAATACCTGCGTACGCAATAGTTTAGGTTCGAACGCGCCAAGATTTACATTTTGAAGGAACACAAAACTTAACCCTACAGAGAATTCAGATTATATAGGGCGTGCTCGTGAATTATGTCCAGCAGTGTATTTATAGAAATGTACAGAGATAATCCTGGTTTATGGAAAGCAAAATATAATGAATATAAAAATAGAAATTGAATTGAAATAGAAACAATAATGGTAACTGAAATGTTTTCGCAAAGGTGACTAAACAAAGTATAGGAGTGTCTTCAAAAATTTCAACTTGGCAGAAATTCTACGCTCCACTCCAAAAGTCAGTAAAATGTCATATTTTTGCATTTATATGCCACCTATAAGTTGTACGCGTCAAAACCGGGTGTTCGGAATGCAGGTTTGGCACGTCGTTACTTCTGTTTACTTATATGTAATTATTTCTTTCTTTTTTGTATCAACACAACCACGAAAAACATTGTCATTGTTGAACTGGTTTTGAAATAAATGAAAAAAAAAGTCAGAATCTTGGCAAGGTGTTTTGCTAGTTGATAGGTAGGAGAATTTATGACACTGACAATAGGACGTAGTGGTTTCTGAAGAAAGTTGCAACATGGCAACCAGAAAGTTTTTAGTTCTAGGTCTAGTGTTAGTTCTAGTTACAAATAAGTTTTGGTTGGGTTAAATCTAATTTTTTTTTAGCAAATTACCAAAACATCACCGGAAGATCGAAATAAAACAATAGTGAACCTAGCAAAATCCGATTTATTAGGTTTACATGGAAATTTAAACATAAACGAAGGCAAGGACAACGAATTATCCTTAGTCAAATTATATTTATTATCAGAAAATTCCCCCAATCTTTTACAAGAGGGTATAGCTAGATTGTTAAACGCAATATCTTCATGTACTCTAGGTAGAGATTATCTATGTCAAGATGACCGAACAATAAGATTTTCCATAATACCATTAGTTTGCGGTAGAAATTCTCAAACAAATTCAATTGGAATAAGCGAGACAACTAAAGAACATTTATTAGTAACATTGCAAAAATTAAGTTTAAGAAGTAAAATGCGACTCGTTATGATTGAAAGTGGTCTTCCAGAGTATTTAGTTGAATTTTTGAGTAATAAACACGATGCATTAAGTGATTACTGTTTAGAATATTGTTGCGCGTTATTTATGAATCTATGCTTACATAAAGAAACACATTTTGGAATGAAAAATATTTCAAATTACCTTTTAGATATGTTAATAAAAATATTAACTAATCATGAACATTGTATTCCCTACCTTAATGGGGCAATGTACAGTTTATTTAACGACGAAGCTTTAAAAGAACAAGCAAAAAAAAGTCACCTTCATGCTGTCCTCTTGGATCAAATCAAACACTTTAGTAACAACTGCGACATTCAACAACAATTAGAGTTGATTGTTAAAGAAATAGAAGGTAAATTAGTAGTGATGGCTGGTGCCTGTGACATTGATTGCCAAATTCATGAAGATGTTGAAATTGATTATATCGAACCGGAAATTGATATTGATGATCCGTTGAGTGAGAACGTAAATGGAACGGATTTGCGAGCTTATGAGAAACAACGAGGGCAACCGGAAGCTTCTTCCTTTGCTTGTTTGTGTCAACCGGTGATGCCGTTCAAAAAAATTACAATCAAATCATTTTGTACTGCACAAGAAGACGACGATTTATCAGGTTATATTGGAGAGAGTTTAGATGCTATTTTATCAACGGTTGCAGAAATTGATAAAGAAATTGCTGCAAACTCAACTAAAAATGTGATCCTTAAAGATTCTCATGAGCAAACGGACCAAAAAGAATTAAAAAACCAAAATGTTTCCGCTCGAGTTGAATCGGCAAATAAATCAACTCAAAATAAAAAAGATAAGTATCGGGATAGATACGATCCTTCTCCGCCCATTATTTATGATCCAATTCATTGTGCTTGTGTTAATAAACGCGACTGCCTAAAGCAAAAGCGAAGAGGAAGTAGTCTAAAGACGGAAAAACTTCCTGGTAATAAAACGTATAATTGCAATTGTATTTCACAGATGCAAAAATTTGTTGAAAATCATTGTGGAAATTGTGATTGTCCCGCGAATTGTAAAACTGTAAAACGAAATTCACAACAAAGCCATCCAAAAACCATTTATCAAAGGTAAGTTAATCTAATTTATTGCTATTTTTGAAGTAAATGAAATCTTGTTGAAAATTTGACTATTTAACTTGGAATGCGATTATTTAATTATTATTTAAATTTTTATTTATACATTTCTTTTTTCTTTCCTAGTGACTATTAATCGTGTTTTTAGTTCACGAAAAAACCGAGATGAAGATTTATTTCGGTCCGCTGTTGAATTGATCGCCATGAATTGTTGTAAATCAGGTAAATATAACACTTTTTAATGAAGTACAGTATAACCTGAATATAACGAACAAAATATATTATTGCTTGTTTTTCTGCAAAAAACACGTTATTTAAAAGATTCATACTTTCGTATGCTACTTGTATTTACTCTTTATTTCCTCTTAACTTTGTTAGAAAATGTGCCAGTCGATATCTACGAACTACAAAATGTGGTTTCAACAAGATGGTTGCGCTTATGTCTTGCAAAAGGACTGTTTGAAATAAGGTTAACCTAAAGACAAAATTAAACAAACAAAAGCATTATTATAGCATTATTTTCTTAAAACTTTTTTTGCCGTCGGCGTCGGCACTAATACAAGCTCTTCATAGTCGCAGAAAAGATCTTTTTATTAAATCTTTTTGCATTTATTTCTTCTGCTGCTGCATAAATATTGTGGCACAGTTCGGCAAGACTTTCAATCGGTTTTTAATACACTGTTTCTTTTATGCAATCCTAATAAAAAAATCACGACGATTTAACCAAGACGCCCAATCCATCTTTCTGGCTATTCTGTATGCAATACAAATACAAATATTTTTATTTACTGTAACAACAAATTTACAATAAAATGTCCAAACAAGTGTCAAACAAGAAAAACAAAAAATGTATTATCAATGTTAATTCTTATCAATTTCATTCACTGCCTCCCTAATAAATTCCTCAAAAGTGTAATATGCACTTTCAATTAGGTGTTTTTTTATAATTATATTGAATTTACTTCTTGACATTGCCGCAATGGAGGGTGGAACTATGTTGAAAAATTTTGGACCCGAATAGTCCATCGATTGTTGTGTTCTTGAGAGTCGGTGCTATGGTGTAGCAAGTTGATAGCAAGATCTAGTTGCATAACTATGTGATTCGCCGAGTGTTTGGAAAGTATTCCTATTATCGTACACGTACATTAACACCGTATATACTTGGTAGGGTAAGTACTTCTTCTCTAATGAAATACTCCTTACAGCTATCACGCCGTCGCAGATTACAGAGAGCCCTAATTGCTGACTTTTGTATTTTAAATATTCTATGGAACTCAGTTGACTGTCCCCAGAATAGAATTCCGTATGATGCCACGGACTGGATGAGGTTGAAATACGACATTTTGGCGGCTTGGTGTGTAGCTATGCTTTTCAAACGTCTTATGGTGAAAACCGCTGTTGATAACTTCTATGATAGGACCTCAATATGATGGTGCCAATCCAGCCGTCCATCGAGATGTAACCCGAGGAACCTCGCCTTACCGACACGATTTTCTGCTTTTGTGCTGAATATTATGCTTTCTGTTTTATTGTGATTTAGTTGCAGGTTATTACTTTCAAACCATAACTGCGCTTCATACATTGCATTGATAGACTTCTGTTTTAGTTCACCCTTGTCTTTACTTTTTACGATGATTGATGTATCATCCGCATATAAGCCAATTTCTTCATTGACCGTGGCAGGCAAATCATTAACATATATAATGAATAGTAAGGGCCCTAAAATTGATCCTTAGGGCACACCTTGTTTTATGTTTAATAACTTGGAATTTTTATCTTTCCATTGAACGTATTGTTGGCTTTCGGAGAGGTATGAGTTTAGGAGTTCTAGTTGTACTCTTATGCCATAATATTCCAGCTTGTCTAAAAGTATGTTGTGGCTTACAGTATCAAACGCCTTGGTAAGATCTAATAAGCTGATTTCCACTAGTTTTTTGTTTTTTTTATTGTTTTTAATATTTACAATTTTTATCCCCTTAATACATTCTAATATATATATTATTAGTATATTATTTTCACCCTCTACCCTCTTCCTCCATTTCCATACCCTCGGCTCCTCGGCCCAATCATCCCCTCATCCTTCCCTTTGTCTCCTTACCCCCACAACCATTCTCATCCATCGTTTCCCCTCTCCCCCCTCTCCTAAGATCTGTCCTCGGTCCAACTCCTCCTCCCTCAACTCACTGCACCCATTCAACATATGTTCCAACGTTTCCCATTCCTCCCTGCATAGCCTACACCACCTCTCCTCATCGGCCATCCAGTATCTGTTAGCTCTCTCCTCGTTTCCACAACGGAACCTAGTCACCAACTTCTTCCCTTCCTCATCTCCTTCCAATAACAAGTATCTAGGCAGCCTCTCCGTTATTATGTCCCTGTACCTTTCGTTATACCTCCCCTCTTTTATTTGTGTCCTTCTTTCCTGTCTCTGCACATCTCGGTCCCTATCTCTCAACTCCCTCCACATCTCCCTACCCACCCTTCGTCTACTATTTATCTCAGTTACCGAGTAGCCCGCTCGTCTATAATAGTTGTCCCTGTCTCCTTTCCCATATCTGATCTTTCCCTCTCTAATTTCCCTCCAACACTCCCCCAAGATCCCGCAGTTTGGCCTCCCTTCTATTCTTTCTTCATATTTCACAGCTCTCCTGCCCGCCTCCACTCTGACCTTATCCACCTTTACCTCTTCCCTCACTATATACCCCGGTGTTTCTCTCGCCACCCCAAGCACCCATCTCCAGTATCTAGCTTGCACGTCCTCCAGCATTGCCTGCTCTCTCCATCCCCATACCTCTGCTCCATACATCATCACAC